CACCAAGTTCGAGGTGTTGCGCGGGCCCACGCGCGCAGACTGAAACCCGAGGCTTCGGCTGCAGCGATGGCGACGGATTCGTCTGCTCATGCTCGGCGGCGGCCGCCGACGCGCGGACTGGCGACTGGGGCCCCGCTGATTCCTCGGCAGGAAGGCGCCGCCAGCATCGTGGCCCCCGACGAGAACGACGAGGAGATGTTTTTCTCGGCACGGTCAACGTGCTGCGCTGAGACGACCTACCTCATGGCGCTGCAGGCGGGGTCATGCTGCGGGCGCCAGGGGCGCGGTGCAACCGTTTCCACCACCTGCCGATGCCTGCCGCGCTACTTGCGGCTGTCACGGCCGCGGCCGCCCGCCCGCGGACCCCCCGCCCTGGCGGCTCCCATCGCTCCGAACGTCGCAGGCCGGGCCGCGGCGGCGCCGCCCCCGCGGCGAGCGCCCTGGCGCCCCGTCGCCGCGGCGGGCGCCGCAGCTGCCCCGGTCGGCGGGGTCGCCAGCCTGGTCGCGGCGGCGGGCGGGCCCGCGGCCGCTCTGGGGGCCAAGGTGCCTGCCGTTGGCGGCGGCGCCGGCGCCGGCCGCGCGGGCGCCCGCTCCCCCGGCGGCGGCCGTTGCCACCCCAGTCGCGCCGGCAGCGATGGCCGACGCCCGCGATGGCCTACAACGATTCGAGAGCTCACTCGTTGAGCTTCGGCGAGCTACTGGCCCGTCTTTTACAATCGCCAGTGGAACGACTGGGCCATGCCTGGTGGAGACGTTGTGGATTTACCGTTTCGTCCGGGAAGACGGCGCGCGGGCGCGCGGGCGCGCGGGCGCGGGCGCGCGGGCGCGCGGGCACGCGGACGGCGGCGCGCGCGCGCGGGCGCGCCGGGCGCGCGGGCGCGCGGGCGCGCGGGCGCGCGGGCGCTCGGGCGCGCGCCGGCGCGCCGGCGCGGGCGTGCGGTCGCGCGGGCGCGGGGCGCGCGGGCGCGCGGGCGCGCGGGAACGCGGTCGCGCGGGGCGCGTTGGCGCGGGGGCGCGCGGGGCGCGCGGGCGCGCGGGTCGCGCGGTGCGCGGGCGCGCGGTGCGCGGGCGCGAGTGCGCGCGGGTGCGCGGGCGCGCGCGCGCGAGTGCGCGCGCGCGTGGCCGTCCGCCTGTCTGCGCCTGTGACTGTGACTGCGTCTGTGTCTGTGTGCGGATATGTGTATGCATATATATATATATATATATATACATATATATGTGTGGTGCGTGTGTTTGTGTGTGTGTGTGTTTGTGCTTGTGTTCGTGCGTGCGCGTGTGCTTGTGTTTGTGTGTTTGCGTGTGTATGCGCGCGTTTGCGCGTGCAAGAATGCCCGCGCGCGCGTTTGTTTTGACAGTTGGCCGAGGGGGGGTCGGATGGTGGGCCGACCAGAGTCGCGGTCCTTTCTTTTCTGGGCCTTCAAGGGGGCCCCTAGCGAGCCCCCGTCTAGGGGCGCGCGGGGGGCGCCGCAAAACAGGCCGCTTCGTCGCCCCCCCCCGCCCCCCCGCCCGCGCGGGCGCAAGCGGGCCTCTGTAGGTGCCCTGAAGGGGAGGAGACGCGCGCACTTGTCTTCGCCACGTCCTTTGGGGTTCAGGCTCCCGCCGCCCTCCCCGCCCGTGACCCCCTGTGCTCTCGCGGCGGGAGTTCAAGCGCTTCGAACGAACGGGCCGTCGTCTAAGTCAAGCTTTGAGTTTGGATTCCTGCCGGCGCAAGGCAGCGCAGTCAGCGCGACGCGTTGCATCTGGCCGACGCGGGGGAAAGAAGACTCTGCAGCTCGATTCCTATTGATGTATATGGATATCAACATATGCATACACGCGCGCGCACGATAGCGTCGCAGACGCCCACGGCGAATCACCGCCGCCCCCTGCCGTTTGGGGGAGCGCCAATGCGGCCGAGAGTTGGGCTAGAGCTTGGCCATGCTGTCGGGCCATGACTTCCCCGAGTCGGACTGGGGAGCTCTCGGGGAACGCGCGGGGGAGAATGGGCGCGAAGTGGAAGAGGGAGAGGAAGAGGAAGAGTAGGAGGATGATGCTTCTCTTGGCCTGCTGCGAGCTTCCTGGGGGCCTTCGAGGCCTCTTTAGGGCCTCCATGGGCCTGCTGGAATCCTTTATAGGCTTCTTGGGGGCATGCCTGGACCGACTTGGGCCCCTCTCGCGGTGCTTCATGGCCGTCGAGGAGACCATCTTGGGCCCCGGGCAAGGCGCCCCCCGAATCGTTTTGACAGTTTTCGGGGAACGCACGCAGGAGGAACACGATCATGAGGAGAGGGAAGGGACAGGACGAATAAGACGCATAACAAGAGGATGAAGAAGATCTCTGCGCCCCTGCCTGTTCATATACGTAGATGGATTGCGCGCTGTTCCTCATCTCGCTCTTCCGCCGACGCGCGCGGGCTCAAGTTTTCGGACGAGACAGCCCGACGTAGCTCGATGCCGAGATCCGGCGCGCCGTGCCCTGATAATTTCGCACGTCGCGCCGCGCCGCCGGCGCTGGCGCGGGCGCCGCCGCGGCGGCGCTCATGGGGGAGCTGGGGCGCAGACAGGAAGCGCCGGGTTTTTATGATCCGAGCGCACGTTGCCGCCGCTGCCTCGACGACGAGGACGAGGCCAGGCGGCCACGCGGAGAGGGCGCGCAACACTGCGAGGAATGGTTGCAAACATTCGCGGGGGATTGGGGGCAAGCCTGGCGCGCGATTACATTGTCGGGGAAGCGGCCGACGGGGGGGGGGCCGACATCACATGTCCTACGCATGATTGTTTACGGAGAGTGAGGCACGCAGGAATAATTGCGCATTACGCGCGCATAGCCAGGAAGTGTCCGGTTTGGGCCGGTTCGGGTCGGTTTGGCGGCGGACCGGTTCGGTTGCAGCGGTTCGATTTCGGCGCGGGGTCCGGTTTTGGTCGGTCCGGTTTTGCCAGTCCGGGTCGGTTATGCCGGTTCGGTTCGGCGGTCGCGGGACGGTCCGGTTTTGGGGGGGCCGGTTTTGGGCCGGAGGGCACCGGGGGGGAGCCGCACCGGGGGGGGGTGCAGGCACCGGGGCACGGCGGGGGGGGGGGGGGGCGGGGTGGGGGGGGGGGCCGGCACCGGGGGGGGGGGGTCCGCCACCGGAGGGCGGGGTGCCGGCCCGGGGGGGGGGTGGTGGGGGTGGGGGTGTGGTGGGGGGGGTAGGGGGGCCGGGGGGCGGGGGGGCGGGGGCGGGGGGGGGGGGGGGGGGGGGGGGGGGGGCGGGTGGGGGGGGGGGGTGGGGGCGGGGGGGGCCGTCACCGGGGGGGGGGGGGGGTGCCGGCACCGTGGGGTGTTTGCCGGCAACGTGGGGTGGGGGGTGCCGGCAACCGGGAAAGGGGGGGTGCCGGCAACCGGGGAGGGGGGGTGCCGCACCGGTGGGGGTGCCGGCACCGGGGGGGGGGGGGGGGGTTGCCCGGCAAATCCTCGAACTGAAAATAAACCGGGGGGGGGGGGGGCCGGCAAACCGGGGGGGGGGGGGGGGCCAGGCACCGGGGGGGCTGCCCTCCGCACCCGGGAAGGGGGCTTTCTTGGGCCGGTGGGGAGTCCCGGGGCCCGGTTCGGTTCCACCCGGTTCGGGCTTGCCGTTCGGGCCGGTTTCGACCGGCCGGTTCGGTTCGAACCGCCCGGTCCGGTTTCAGCCGGGCCGGTTCGGGCTCCGGTTCGGGCGGTTCGGTTGCAGGAGCCGCCGGTTCACGGTTGCCAGTTCGGTTCGGACTCTTCTTGATAGCGAGCCCAGACCAATTGTTCTATTCAAAATTCGTTCGCGCGCTACAGGCAGAGCTCGCGCCCTGGGATGGGGGGCGCCAAGTCGGCAGCCTCGGCGGCGCATGTCCATCGCTTGCCTGAGCTCGGGAAGCGGGCCGCAGATCTCATCGTCGGCAGCCGCGTGGCAGGGTGGCAAGAGGCCAGCATGGCGCCGCCACGATAACCTTTACCATTCGGATGACGCCCGGAAGCTGGTGGCTTGTAAAAGAAAATGTTTCGAAGCCCCGATGAAGGCGTTCGGGTGGGAGGAACGGCGCGCGGCCTATCCTCGGGAAATGGCGAGGTTGCGCCGCCTCCAAAGAGGCCATGCCACGGGCCCGCCGCTTACCTTGTCGGCAGTTTTCGGGGCGTGCCGCGCGCGAAAGCCACCCGTGGATTAGTCGGCGGAGTTATCGATTTTGACCCAGTACGCTTGGAGTGCTTCATTCCGTCGCGCTCCAAATGCGGGGGCCGATCCCAGTTGCGCGCCGAAGCGGAGAGTCGCATCTTGTCGCGCGCTGACAGCGCCTCTGGGATAGGCGCCCCCCCGCACGATTCGGATGAGAAGAAGCCGGGGAAGCTCTGCGAGATCTGCGCGAGCAAGAGGCTCTGCGAGAAATGCGGGGACGATATACCGCTGAACGCGTTGGACAAGTACCCGCGCGGCAAGCGCCGCACCGAATGCAAGAAATGCCAGGCGAACCCAGGCTGGAAGGATTTGCGGGAGTGCAATGGTTACGACAAATGGTCGGAGACCTCTGGCACCAGTCAGCACGGCAACCGCGCGCACCACAGGAAGCGCAATCAGCGCAGGGGGAAAGCCAAGTGCCGGCGGAAGAGACAACCCGCCCGCGCGCCACGGCGTTCGACGCGTCACGGGGCGCCAGGACGTCCCGCGCAGGGCCATGCCCGGCGCCGCCGCGGCGCGGCGCCCCTCGAGCCGCGGGGCGCTGGCGTCCTGAGCGGCCTGAGCGCAGGGCCATGCCCAGAGCTGCTGCGCCAGCTTCCACGTGGAGATGCCATGGAAGCCGCGTGCGTGACATGGGACCCGACGCGTCAAGGGACGCCCGGGTGTCTTGCGCAGGGCCATGTCCAGCGCCGCCGCGGCACAGCGCCCCGCGCGCCGTCAGACAGCGTTTTCAGCGTGGCGCATGCCCAGGGCTGCCGTGCCATGTCATACGCTGGCACGCGCTTGCACGGTTAGAAGTCTCAGAAAGTTGTCGCGCGGAGAAACCTCCCATCGTTGGCGCCGACGTCGTCGCCGGCGTCGTCGCCGTCATGGCGCCGCTTATTTCGTCGCTATGGCAGTTCATGCGTCGCCCAGCGCCTACGCGGACATACGTTGGGGCCAAGTGCAACCGCGGTATTCGCGCGCGTGTTCCCCGAGCTGCCGTGGGAATATTTGCGGGGACGCTCGGGAGCGCATGTTTTTTCTTTTTTGGGGGGGAGGGGAAGTGGAGAAGGATGAGATGGGGCACGCGGAGGAGATGCGGCCTATTGGAACCTCTTGGCCGTCATGGAGACAGCTCGGCCGTCTTGGAGTCCGCTTTTGACAGTCTTGTGGCCGTCTTGGGGCTCTCCCGAAGGCCATATTTGGCAATGTTCGGGCCGTCTTGGGGCAGTGTTGGGGCCATCCTTGGCAGCCGTAGCCGCATTGGAAGTCATCATGTCTCATGCATGTCCGATATGTCGTTCGTGTCAGGATGTCCCAAGCGAAACGCGCGCCATGAAGGTCGGGTCAGATTTTGGCCAAGTTGTTGGACCACGTATCCCACCAGCCGTTGTGGAAACCCTGCGGGGTACCTTTTGGGGGGAACAGACAAAAGGAGAAAAGGATATAAAAATGAAAGTGCAGAGGGGGAGGAGGAGGAGGAGGAGGAACACATGAGCCTGGCGCAGGACCCAACCATATGCAGTTGTGAGTACCGCAATTGTGAATATCTTCTTCGGTGGCGCTCCCTATGGGGCCACGAAGCGCTGTACTGGGTGGGCGAAACGCAGGGAACAAGGGACGTGTCGGGTGGTGGCGGACGCATGCGGGCGGTGCCACTGGGACCTTCGGTGGAGCCCCCTATGGGGCCACGAAGCGCTGTACCGGGCGGGTGAAACGCAAGGAGCAAGGGCTGTGCTGGGTGGGGGCGGACGCATGCGGGCGGTGCCACTGGGACCTTCGGTGGGGCCCCTTAGGGGGCCACGAAACTTTGTACTGGGTGGTTGAAACGCACGGAGCAAGGGCTGTGCTGGGTGGTGGCGGACGCATCCGGGCGGCGAGCTCCCTAAATGGGGCCACGAAGCGCTGTACCGGGTGGGTGAAACGCAGGGAGCAAGGGCTGTGCTGGGTGGGGGCGGACGCATGCGGGCGGTGCCACTGGGACCTTCGGTGGAGCCCCCTTTTATGGGGCCACGAGACGGTGTACTGGGTGGTAGCGGACGCACGCGGGCGGTCCCACTGAATCCTTCGGTGGATCTCCCTATCGGGCCACGAAGCGTTGCATTGGGTGGATGAAACACAGGGAGCAAGGGTTGTGCTGGGTGGTGGCGGACGCGTGCGGGCGGTGCCACTGAAACCGTCGGTGGAGCCCCCTTTTATGGGGCCACGAAGCGCTTTACTGGGTGGGTGAAACGCAGGAAGCAAAGGCCGTGTTGGGCGGTGGCGGGGGTGAAATGCAGGGAGCAAGGGCTGTGCTGGGTGGTGGCGGACGCACGCGGGCGGTCCCATTGGGGGCTTCGGTGGAGCTCCCAATGGGGCCACAAAGCGCTGTGTTGAGTGGGTGAAACGCACGGAAGAAGGAGGAGGGAGGGGAGGAGGAGGAGGAGGAGGAGGAGGAGGAGGAGGAGGAGGAGGAGGAGGAGGAGGAGGAGGAGGAGGAGGAGGAGGAGAGGAGAGGAGAGGAGAAGAGGAACGCGGGGACCGTCTCTTCAAAACGATGACCCAACACCACAGGATGGCTGGAAATAAGAAACTTCTCGAGAACCTCTGGAACACTCTTGGGGCCTCCGCGTGTTTATTGGGTGTTTCTTGGAGGTTTTTTACAGGACTTCTTGGGCCTTTTGGGGGCGGCCGTTGTTCAATGTTCCTTAATATTGGGCGCTCCTGCTTCGTTTGACGCCGTCAAAAGCCGTCTTGGGGGCCTCCGTACGCCGACGCGGGGCCTTCTCAGCGAGCTCCAGAGCCGTTTTGGAGGCCATCTTGGGCGCCTTGGAGGTCGTCTGGGCCGTATTGGGGACCTCTTGAGCCGTCAGGGAGCCATTTTGGAGGCCTCTTGGATGCTTTGGGGGACATTTTAGAGCCTTTTGGGCTGTCTTGGGCCGTCGGAAAGCCGACGATGAGCGAACGCCTGAATCCTTCAAAAACCCACTGAAAGTCAATGATGTTTACCTATTCGGACCTTCCTGGAGGTCCCTCTTGGAGGTCTCGGCCGTCTTGGGGGCCTCTTGGGGCGTATTGGGCCATCTTGAAACCATCTTGGGGGCATGTTGGGCCGTTTTGGAAACATCTTGGGGCCACCTTGGGTTGTCTTGGGGCCATCTTCTCCGTTTTGGGAGAACTTGAAGGCCATCTTAGGTCATCTTGGCTGTTTTGGAGGCGGCGTTGTGCAGATTTCCGGTCGTCTTTGGCCCGAAGGCGGTACGCGCCGAAACCCCAGGGGGACTTCTTTGGGAAAAAGAACCAAAACCAAAACCGAAAGGTTTCAGCACGCCGGGCACCCCTGTGATGAATCAACAGGGGACGGCTGATCCATTTGTTTCCGGCCTATCCCGCCACCGTGCTTGGGCTGTGGGTGTAGGGCCTTTGGGGGTTTTCTTGGGGGTTCCTGGGGCGGCAGGATGTGATGTTCTGTTCGTGTTCTGTCTTTTGGGCCCCTTTGGGGGCCGTCTTGGGGCCACCTGGGACCGTCTTCGGTGCCTCTTGGGCCGTCTTGGGCGCTCTTAGGCCATCTTGGAGTTTTTAGAGGCCCCATGGGCCGTCTTCGGATGGTTTGGGAGGCTTATCTGGCCGTTTTGGAGCATCGGAAAACAGAGAAGGTAAAGTCCTTCCAAAACCCACGGACACTGAATGATTCGTGCCTCTTGGGGACCTTTTGGGAAGCTTTCTGGGGCGTTCTGGAGGTTTCTTATGCCATTTTAACGCCATCTTAGGCGTTTTCGGGCGATTTTGCGGCGTTTCGGGACCCTCCTGGACCGTGTTGATGGCTGTATGGTGCCCTCTTGGCCCGTTTTGTGGCATATACGAGAAGATGCCAGGAACGCGCGGGGAGGTGCGAAAAGCTCCGAGAGTTTTGGCAATCTAGGCTTCGGGCTCCTGAAACACCTTTCAGGGATGCTTGAGGAATTACAGAAGGTGTATGTGCGTGCGGGTAGAAGGTATGTGGTGGATAGAAGGTGTATGTGTGTGTGTGTGTGTGCGTGTCCCCCTCTCTCCCCGCCCCCACTTTCCTCGCCCCCTCCCTCCTTCTCCCCTCCCCTGGGGTTTCTATCCTCGATCCCCTCCTACGGTAGGTTCGCGTCGTGTCGACCGGCGGCGACCCGGCCAGCGCCGTTCAACGTTGAACGCCGGCGGCGACCCAGAATCGGTCGATGTTGAACGATTGGACGTTGCGGGGACGGCCGATTTCTCAAGCTGGAGCGATCCACGCGGTGTCAGAAACCAACGCCAGGGTCGTCACGACGCGAACCTGCCGTACCCCGTCTCCCCCTCTCGTCCCTCCACCCCCCTCCCTCCACCCCTTCCCTCGTCGCCCTCCCGACCCCCCTGGCTCTTTCTTCCTCGACAGGCTCCAGAGGCCGCGGGCCTCGAAGTGTCTGCAGAGCCCACAGGCAGGGGCAAGCAATTGCGACGCGGGCTGGCGGCCGTGCTCTTCCCCGCATATCTCGAGAGGTCCCCAGAAGGTTCCTAGAGACCCTGGGCAGGGGCAGGAGTGCCCAGAGTCCACGCTACTCGCGCCCCGATCCTCGCTTCCTCGAACTCCTCCGCCTCTCCGTCCTCCCTGTCCTCCTCCTCGTCCTCCTCCTCTTTCGTCTCGACGCGCGCCCGGAAGGACGCGCCGGACGTGTACGACGTCCTCTCACTTTCCCCGTCGAGCGCCCGGAAAGACGAGTCGGACGTGTACGACCTGGATTGGAGCGACCCGCGAGCCTTGTCGCCGCCAGGCGGTGGAGCCGGTCACGGCGGCACGCCCTGCCTCGGCGCGGCGCCGGGGCCGGCGTTCAACACGTATTGCCGGAGCAACTTGGGGCAGGCGCCGTTGCCGCCTGCACCAGCGGTCCAACAAGTGCAGTGGTCGGGCGGCGCTACAGTGGAGACCCATGCCAAGAAACACCCTGCTTGCCTCCAGGGTGCCCTGCCCTGGGTGTCTTGGGTTTCGATGGTTTTGCGGTGGAAAGCGTAACGTTCCCACACCCAAAATCAATGGACATCCTGGGGTCTCAGGGTTGGGCTTCTTGCGGAATGTTTCTTGTGGGCGATCCCCTACTGCAGGTCGAGGATAAGTCCGTTCCAGAGCGTTCTGGAACGCTCTCAGACTCTCAGAGCGTTCTGGAACATTCTGAGAAGGCCGCGGCGCCCGATTTATCCTCCAGAGCCGCTGGATCTCAGAGATTCTTGATTTGCTCTCACCCGATTTGATCTTCGTCTTGCCTTCGTCTGAGGGGGGGAAGGGGGAGCGGAGCCAATGAGACATGTTACAGTCGGGCATGACCCTCTACAGGAGGAAGGTTCAAGAATAGTAATACAATAATATTGGGACGATGTGTTGATTAATTTTGGAGCATTCTGGGGACATGTTTTGCGTATGTCTTACTTTTCGTCCGAAATCTGGTTACAGGAAGACATGCCCGACCTAAAAGTTGTGGCGCGTGCAGCCTGTTTCGGCTACACCGCCGAGCACCTTCCTCGATGTGCGCTGGCTTCCGGCGCGTCGAGGGGCTGGGGAAACCAGCAACGTGTCGTGGTAATTCGTTGAGCGCCGTGTTTGCTCACCCCCGTCGGTCCACCCCGATCGTTTCAGTTCTGCCTTGCCCTCTTCGGGGGCGGCGAAAGGGACCCCCAGTCATCGCCGATCGTGGCTTCGGGGAGAAGGTGGAGGAGGAGGAGGAGGAGGAGGAGGAGGAAGCGAGAGGAGAAGAAGGAGGAGGAGCAGGAGAAGGAGGAAGCGAGAGGAGAAGGAGGAGGAGGAGGAGGAGGAGGAGGAGGAAGCGAGAGGAGAAAAAGGAGGAGGAGGAGGAGGAGGAGGAGAGACAGGCGAGAGAATGAAATGAGGAGTTGGAGGAGGAGGAGGAGGAGGAGCATGAGGAGGAGGAGGAGGAGGAGGAGGAGGAGGAGGAGCAGGAAGAGAAGAAGGAGGAAGGGCAGGAGGAGGGGCAGGTGGAGGAGAAAGGAGATGGAAGATGACGATGCGGAGGAGGGGAGGAGAAGGAGGAAGGAGGGGAGAGAGGACGGGAACAGGAGAAGTGGGGGAGGAGTGCGGAGCAGGAGGGGCAAATCCCTTCCTTGGAACAGGACACTGCGTGAGCAGGAGGTGCTGGAGGGCCTTCGCGGGTTTCGCGGGTCGGCGCGGAGTCCCCTTCCCCAGACCGGCTCCACAGCTCGCAGTGCGCCATGGGACGCCACCCAGGGGTTTGCGGAGGGGGGCCCAGCGCTGGCCCGAGAGGTCCACGCGGACCTCTGGAAGGGTCTGTGCATGCGGTGTGCAGGCCTTCTGGTGTGGCCATCAGGGGTCTGACGCCCATCTGTAGACATGCACTGCCAACGTCGAGGCCTCCCCTCAGCCAGTCCCACCCTTTCGGCTCCCCTCTCTCCCCGTTGTCATCCCCCCCTTCCTCACAACCCCCTCCCTCTTCTCTCCCCGTTGTCATCCCCCTCTCCCTCTTCTCTCCCTCTTCTCTCCCCGTTGTCATCCCCCTCTCCCGTTCTCTCCCTCTTCTCTCCCCGTTGTCATCCCCCTCTTCCTCACAACCCCCTCCTTCCTCCCTCCTCCCTGGCTCGGTCTGGCGACGAGGGCCCCCCAGGGAGCCCCACACGTGGATGGGAACGTCAAACTGCTCCCTGCTCCTCCACGTCGTCGCCGTCGTCCTCCTCGCCGTTCTCCCTTCTTCCAACCAATCTTGTATGTTTTGGTACGCTTTATCACGATATGTCTGTACTGTAGGGCTTGGACATGAGAAGCGATGTATTTAGGCTCGCCTCCCTCTCTTCCTCCTCCTCCTCTTCGATTTCTTCTCCTTCTGAATAATTTCTCCCTGTCGCACCCCGGTGCCAGTTTTGCCGGGCGTTTCGCCTGAGACTCTTCCTCACCATGAATGGTTCTGAAGTTTAACATGGCAACAGTTTCACAGATTGAGGGTGGGTCGTTTTCAAAATGTGGCTCTCGCCTCAGTGCCGCGCACATTCGTTTTTAATAATTTGCAGGAGTTACACGGATTGAGGGCGGTTCCTTTTCCCAATGTGATTCTCGCCTCAGCGCCGCGTGCATGTTTTTTTTAATTTCGCAGGGGTTTCACGGATTGAGGGTTGGTGGTTTTCAAAATGTGGCTCTCGCTTTAGCGCCGCGCACATCCTAAAAAAATGATAGAGTTTCACGGATTGAGGGCGGGTCGTTTTCCCAATGTTGTTCTCGCTTTAGCGCCGCACACGTTCGTAGTTCAAATTCGCAAGAGTTTCACGGATTGTGGGCGGGTTGTTTTCAAAATGTGGTTCTCGCTTTAGCGCCGCGCACATTCTTTTTATAATGTTCAAGAGTTTCACGGATTGAGGGCGGGTCGTTTTCCAAATATGGTTCTCGCCTCAGCGCCGCGCACATTCGTTTTAAAAATTCGCGAGGGTTTCACGGATTCCCATGATCAACGTAGCAGAAATGGTGTTTGGGAAAGGTTCAGGGTTATGCGGGTGCAAATGTTATGTTCACTCGTGGTGCTGAAGTCCCGACCTTGGCGTTCTGGTACGATTCCAGATCGTCAGGGCGCAGTAGCCAGGTTGGTCCGTGGCGTGGAGATCCCGAGAACAATATTTTGGCATGCTTCACGGTCGTCAAACGGTTGTCTTCCAACGAGGCAGTTCCCTCAATGGAAATGAACCGTTGTAGGGATCCATGAAGAGGGAGCTTGGAGGGAGGGTTCATTCCAACATCGTTGATGACTCTTGGGTTTACACTGGTCCTCCTCCTCCTCCTCCTCCTCCTCCTCCTTCTTCTCCTCCTCCGCCTCCTCCTCCTCCTCTCCCTACTCCTTCTCCCCCCCCTCCTCCTCCTCCTCCTCCGCCTCCGCCTCCTCCTCCTCCTCCTCCGTCTCCTCTCGCTTCCCCCTCCTCCCCCGCCCTCCTCCGGGGAGGGCAGCGCGAGGAGGGCGAGAGGGCCTCGAGGAGCGGGCGGCGGGCGGCGCGGGAGACCCCGCGGCGCCGAGCCCCCCCGCGCAGGCGCCCCTGGCGGGGCCGCCGGCGGCCCGCGAGCAGTCGCCGCCCGGGCGGGGGCCTCGGCGCGCTGCCGAGTGGAGCCGATGCCGAACGTCGTCGGCGTCGTCGTCGGCGGCGGCGTCGTCTTCAGCGTCGGCGTCGTCGGCGTCGGCGTCGGCGTCGGCACGCCGCCGTGTGGAGCCGATGCCGAACGTCGTCGTCGTCGTCGGCTGCGGCGGCGTCTTCGGTGTCGTCGTCGGCGTCGGCGTCGGCGTCGAAGTCGCATCCTTGCCTCCTCGGTCCATCGTTGGCCACTTTCGTTGGCCGCGCCCCGCTCGAAAGGCTTCGAAGTGGGCGTCCAGGTCCCTTGCATCCTTATCACGCATCCTTATGATACGGGCCGACTGTACAGTGGGGCCGCTGAAGAAGGAACCCCTGTCGTTAGGCAGGGGCTCAGAGTTCCGTTTCCTTGTCAGGTTTTCGATCGGAAATCGAAGTTTAACCTAAGGAGAAAAAGGGACCCCGTTCCTGACTCGGGCATCCTTATGCCAGCATCTCGACTGTGTTGGGGAAGCTCGTGCTGGACGGTGCCGAGTGGCATGCCCTGCCATGTGGAGCCGAGGCCCTGCCTCGACGGAGGGCAGTTGCACATGCAGAAACTCTCGGCGCTGTGGGCGGATCCACTGCCTCGGCGCTGTGCCTCTGGGGCTCCCGAACGGAGTGGTGACCACACCGTGTGGTGAGTCGGTGGAGATTCGGGGTCGCTTCATGGTTTTGGGACTTGAGTCGTCTTCCGAGGAGGTCTCGGGTGGCTGGGGCCTCGGAGATCCCAAAACCATGTGGTGGCGGACCCTGCGGTGAGGTCTGTGCGGATTTGAAAAAGCGTGTTTTGCCGCTGCTGGCAGAAAACCGGGAGGGCGGGTCTCTGGGGGTTTCAAAGCCGTCCCCCCCCACCCTCGAAAATTGGGGATGGGGGCTACCCGTTCGAACCCCCCCCAGTCCATCATGACAAGGGAGGGGGGGGTTACTACAGGTTCGAATCTCCCCCCCCCTCCTCGCCGCCGGCAAACGACTCCCGCTCCTGGGGACAGTGGGACAGTGGTTGGGACAGTGGGACCGTGGTGGGGACGGTGGTTATGGGGACTGGTGTGGGGGGACAGTGGGACAGTGGTGAGGGACAGTGGGAACAGTGGGACAGTGGTGAGGACGGTGGTGGTGGGGACACTGGCGAGGGGACAGTGGGACAGTGGTGGAGACAGTGGGGATAGTGGGACAGTAGTGGGGACGGCGGTGGTGGGGACAGTGATGAGGGCGGTGGTGAGGACGGTGGTGACAATGGGACAGTGGGACAGTGGTGGGGACAGTGGAAACAGTGCGACAGTAGTGGGGACAGTGGGGAGAGTGGGACAGCACAGTGGGACAGCGGCGGGGACAGTGGGGACAGTGGGAGAGTGGCGGGGACAGTCGGGACAGTGGGCCAGTGGTGGGGACAGTGGGAACAACGGAGAGTATGGGACCGTGGTGGGGACAGTGGTGGGGACAGTAGGGACAGTGAGACACTGGTGGGGGCACTGGTGGGGACAGTGGCGACAGTGGCGACAGTGGGACAATGGTGGGGACAGTGGGGACAGTGGGACAGTGGTGGGGACGGCGGTGGTGGGGACAGTGGTGTGGGGACAGTGGTACAGTGGTGGGGACTGGGGACCGAGAGAGTGGTGGGGACGGTGGTGGTGGGAACAGTGGTGAGGGCGGTGGTGAGGACGGTGATGGGACAATGGGACAGTGGTACAGTGGGGACAGTGCGGCAGTGGTGGGAACAGTGGGACAGCTCTGTGGGACAGCGGTGGGGACAGTGGGACAGTGGTGGGGACAGTGGGGACAGTGGGACAGTGGTGGGGGCAGTGTGGAGAGTGGGACCGTGGTGGGGACAGTGGTGCGACAGTGGTGGGAGCACTGGTGGGGACAGTGGGGACAGTGGTGGTGGGAACAGTGGGGACAGTGGGACAGTGGTTGGGACGGTGGTGCTGGGGACAGTGGTGAGGGCTGTGGTCAGGACGGTGGTGGGGACCCGGGAGTCGTTTGCCAGCGGCGGGCGGGGGGGGGGGGTTCGAACCAGTAGTGATCCCCCCTTGTTTTCTCGGGGGGCGGGCGTTAACGAAGGGGGGTTTTGCCAGGGGAACGGAGGGGGGGGGGGTCGAGCAGGGGGGGGGATTTTCGGAGTGTGGGGGGGTGCCGGGGCTCCGGAGGAAGAGGGGTGGGGGGGGGATTTCCACAGTAAAGCGGCGGTGGATCATGCTCTCTCGCGTATTTCGAGGTCGCCGCCGGGTCTGCCACCACACGTTTTTGGTACCGCCAAGTGACCCTCCCCGGCGATGCTTCTGGCGCCGCCGTTGGCGCGCTCCGCGCGCCAGGGAGGGGTGTCCAGCGCAGGTTCAAGACATCCGCGCGGAGCTCCGAATGTTTATGTTTGTGCGTTTCGTCTTTTCCTCTATGCCGATGCCGACGTCCATGTTTAGGCAATGCCGATGCCATGCCGAAGCTCATGCTCTACGATGCCGCCTGAGCTGATGCCGATGCCCTGCCATGTTGGGCAGCCGGTTTGCCATTTCGAGCTGATGTTGGGCCGAGCGATGAACCGAAGGGATATAGCTTGGTTCCAACTCTATTGCGTTGGGTTCTCGTTTTGGATGGAGCGCTGCAGTCCTCCAGCCTGCCGCCTGCAAGGGCGGAGCAACTGCGCGCTGCCGTTCTGAGCCTTCTATACACCGTGCCCATGCTCAATCCTCTTTTAATGGCAGATGGTGTTCGCGGCGTCAGCGGTCACAAGAGGAGGAGGAGGCTTGCTGTGGCGCAAGCACGGTTCTGCAGGCATTGCTGGTCGCCCAGCACGGGATACAAGTGGTGGAACTGGGCGGGCCTGGGGCATTGAGCAAGCACCCCAAGAGCACCGCTTTCGCAGGAAACAAGACGCCATCAATTCCTACAAAGTCGTTCAAGAGTGGACAGCCGGCGTCAGAGTTTGAGCGTGTCGGGGAGGTCAAACGGTTCAGGGCCAAGGCGGCGTCCTTCAAGCAGTCCGTTCCGACGTCAGCACGAGGGGCCGACGGCATTGCGATGGAGGTTGACGACGGTGCACAAGGACACCAGATCGGTGAGATCAAGCTGCAGTCGGCCAAGGTCGCAGCTCAATTTGCCATTGTCCAGGAAGTTGGCGAGGATGCGTTCGATCAGCTACGCGTAACACTTCGTGCCAAGCAGAGTGGTTGTCGGCAGCAATTCACCAAGGGAAGCAGTTTGGACACGGTGTTCAAGGATATGTCGCTCCAGCTGTTGAAGGTGAACAAGAAGGTGATGAGCAGGAGCAGCTGCGCGCATAGTGGCAATCAAAGATTGCAGTTGCGCAGTATGACTCCGAGAAACCAGAAAAGATGCTGGACGAGATCGGTTGTGAGCTCGTCGAGCGTGAAACGGAGGCGCAATTTGGTCGCAGAGGTGCGAGAGCCAGCTGAGGTAGCCAAGCATGTTCTGCAGCAGGTCGTCGCGGCAAGCCCCAGCATCGAACGTATCGGCGACATCTGTCATACATTCGGCGGCAGTGGTGACTTGGCAAAAAAGATCGCATGGCTGCCTGGAGGGGGCGAAGGCGGCAGAGGGGGCGCTCGGGGCCGAACAGAGGCGCACGGCCGACGAGGCCGAGCGCGCAGTGGCTGCCACGGCGGCCGCGGCCGCGTTTACGGGGGCCAGGGAGCGCAAGTGCGAGCTCGGCCCAGCCGCTTGCGGTCCTGCAGCCGCCTCCGCCCCCGCCAACGTCGTTGATTCCGGGTGCACCGACGGATTCCCCAGAGGCGTTGTGACATTCGTTGGGATCGGTGGAGCAGCAGGCTCGCAGCGCTGCCAAGAGGACAGGAGAGATAGTCTTGTCTGAAGCAGCCAAACGCCACAAGTCTGCTTGCACGGGGCAGCTGCTCCTCTGCGGGGAATGACGAAGCCATTGCGTGCGTGTGCGTGACATTCCAGACACGCCACATGTCAGAACCAGGTCGGCGTGGCGGGGCTTCAAGGAATCTGGGAGACAGCGCAGGAGACGGGAGCAGTGAATGGGTTCAGCGGAGGTGTTGATGTTTTGGCCTCCAAGCGCATACGGTCTGGTGCAGGGCCGCTGCTCGCAGATGTGGGTGGCCGAAGTTTTGCAGGCAAGGCGATCGCCGCCGACGTGCGTTCCTTGTTTCGCGGTTCGTATGTCGCTGTGCAGCATGCCTTCGCGTGAGCGATGACATTAGGACCCGTGAACACAGAGGTGTTGACCGAGATAGCGTGACATGCTCATCGGGTCCAGACGTGTAGGCCCGAGTAGGGTGATTGGACCCGATGTCAATACGCACCTGTCTCCTGCGATGGCAGGGACATCTGAGGGGTGCTGATTGCGCCTGCGGAGCCGACGCGTGTCCTGATCACGCCAGGCAGCACCGTGGATGCCTCTGTTCAGGAGGGAAAAAACACACAGACACAATTAATCGTCGATTCCCTGTTGCGTGTGTCTATTTATTTGTGTGTCCCAGGGCCCCTTCATTTGTGGTCAGCATAGGTGTCGCGACCAGAACAGGCGCCGCGACTGCGATAAACGCTGTCAACATCAGTCCGCACAAGCTGGAACAGCGCAGAATACGCGGGAAGGGCGCAGCACTGCGGCGCCGAGCCTCATGGCAGCCTCGAGGGTTACCAGTTGAGGCCAAGCCAGGTTGCGGGCGGCACCCGCGAGATTGGTGCCTCCTTCACCGCAGTGTATCTCAAGCTGACTGCGACGAGAAGCCCACCACCTTCTGGCCCCGGACGATCAAAACCATGGAGGGCGAGCTCCTCGACAGACGCGGCGCGGCGAGGCCCGAAAGGAACCGCATTCAATTCCGCCACGGCGAACGCGATGCAGCTTGGAAGCTCGCGAACAAGCCCCAGCACGGGCCCCCCAGGACGCCGCGCAAGTATGCGCCGTGGAAACTGGCAGCGAGGCGAACTCGGCATCTGCGCAGCGTCGACGCGGTGCCGCTCTGCCTTGCCGCCGACGCAAAGTGTGTGTGTGTGTGTGTTGCGTGTTGCGTGTTGCGTGTTGTGTGTTGCGTGTTGCGCGTTGCGTGTTGCGTGTTGTGTGTTGTGTGTTGTGTGTTGTGTGTTGTATGTTGTGTGTCGTGCGTTGCGTGTTGTGTGTTGTGTGTTGCGTGTTGTGCGTTGTGTGGTGTGTGGTGTGTGTTGTGTGTTGTGTGTTGTGTGTCGTGTGTGTGTGTCGTGTGCGTGTCGCGTGTGTGTCGTGTGTGTGTGTGTGTCGTGTGCGTGTCGTGTGTGTGTCGTGTGCGTGTCGTTTGTGTGTCGTGGGTGTGTGACGTGTGTGTGTGTGTCGTGTGTGTGTGTCGTGTGTGTGTGTCGTGTGCGTGTCGTGTGTGTTTGTGTCGTCTGTGTGTGTGTCGTGTGTGTGTCGTGTGTGTGTGTCGTGTGTGTGGTGTGTGTGTGTCGTGTGTGTGTCGTGTGTGTGTGTCGTGCGTGTGTCGTGTGTGTGCGTGTCGTATGTGCGTCGTGTGTGTGTCGTGTGTGTGTGTCGTGTTTTTGTCGTGTGTGTGTGTGTGTGTGTGTCGTGTGTGTGTGTGTCGTGCGTGTGTCGTGTGAGTGTCGTGCGTGTATGTGTGTGTCGTGTGTGTGTGTGTCTGTCGTGTGTGTGTGTGTCGTGCGTGTGTCGTGCGTGTGTCGTGTGTGTGTGTGTCGTGTGTTGTGTCGTGCGTGTGTCGTGAGTGTGTGTGTCGTGCGGTTGTCGTGTGAGTGTCGTGCGTGTATGTGTGTATCGTGTGTGTGTGTGTCTGTCGTGTGTGTGTGTGTGTCGTGCGTGTGCCGTGCGTGTGTCGTGTGTGTGTGTCGTGCGTGTGTCGTGCGTGTGTCGTGTGTGTCGTGCGGTTGTCGTGCGTGTGTCGTGCGTGTGTCATGCGTGTGTCGTGAATGTGTCGTGCGTGTGTCGTGCGTAGTGTGTCGCGCGTGTGTCGTGCGTGTGTCTTGCGTGTGGTAATTGTGGTAAGTGTGGTAATTGTGGTGCGGGTGCGCGCGCGCGCGCGCGTGCGCGCGCGCGCGCGTGCGCGTGCGCGTGCGCGTGCGCGTGCGTGTGCGTGTGCGTGTGCGAGTGCGTGTGCGTGTGCGTGTGCGTGTGCGTTTGCGCGTGCGCGCGTGCGCGTGTGCGCGCGTGCGCGCATGCGCGCGTGCGCGCGTGCGCGTGTGCGCGTGTGCGCGTGTGCGCGTGTGCGCGTGTGCGCGTGTGCGTGCGTGTGCGCGTGTGCGCGCGTGCGCGTGTGCGCGTGTGCGCGTGTGCGCGTGTGCGCGTGTGCGCGTGTGCGTGCGTGTGCGCGTGTGCGCGTGTGCGCGTGTGCGCGTGTGCGCGTGTGCGCGTGTGCGCGTGTGCGCGTGTGCGCGTGTGCGCGTGTGTGCGCGTGTGCGCGTGTGCGCGTGTGCGCGTGTGCGCGTGTGCGCGTGTGCGCGTGTGCGCGTGTGCGCGTGTGCGCGTGTGTGCGCGTGTGCGCGTGTGCGCGTGTGCGCGTGTGCGCGTGTGCGCGTGTGCGCGTGTGCGCGTGTGCGCGTGTGCGCGTGTGCGCGTGTGCGCGTGTGCGCGTGTGCGCGTGTGCGCGTGTGCGCGTGTGCGCGTGTGCGAGTGTGCGCGTGTGCGCGTGTGCGCGTGTGCGCGTGTGCGCGTGTGCGCGTGTGCGCGTGTGCGCGTGTGCGCGTGTGCGCGTGTGCGCGTGTGCGCGTGTGCGCGTGTGCGCGTGTGCGCGTGTGCGCGTGTGCGCGTGTGCGCGTGTGCGCGTGTGCGCGTGGGCGCGTGGGCGCGTGGGCGCGTGTACGCGTGTGCGCGTGTGCGCGTGTGCGCGTGTGCGCGTGTGCGCGTGTGCGCGTGTGCGCGTGTGTTCGTGTGTGCGTGTGTGTCTGTGTGTCTGTGTGTGAGTGTGTGTGTGTGCGTGTGTGTCCTGTGTCCTCTTTCCTGTGTCCTCTGTCCTCTGTCCTCTGTCCTGTTTCGTGTGTCGTGTGTCGTGTGTCGTGTGTGCGGGGGAGGGGGAGGGGGAGGGGGAGGGGGCGGGGGCGAGGGCGAGGGGCGGAGTGACTGAGGGACGGAGAGATCGAATTGATGACGGACGACGCCGGCGACGACAATGACAACGAACGACCAAGATGACGACAACACACGGCGACGACGATGGAAGACGACGTCGATGGACGATGGCGGCGATGGACGACGACGACAACGGACGACACGACAGACGACGACCGCCACGACCACCGCGACAGCGACCGCGACGGACGACCAGTCGACGACGACAACGGACGACAATGGACGACGAGGTTGATAAGTGACGGCGACGGCGGCGGCGGCGCCAGGGATGTCACCGGGTCGACCGCGAGCTGCAGTGGGACTTGCGCCGCCAGCAGCAACGGTGAACCCCGTCGTCGTCGTCGTCGTCGTCGCTGTCGTCGTCGTCGTCGTCGTCGTCGTCGTCGTCGTTGTCGTTGTCGTTGTCGTTGTCGTTGACGTCGTCGTACGATTCGTCCCAAGCACGTGTGTTTCACGATTTGCCTTGTTTCTGGGCTCGCGTCCGCCTCCGGGGACCTCCAGGAAGACGGAGCTCATCGTCGTTCGTCGGTGACTTCCTTTGGCCCAGGTCCGCAGACCTCAGCAGGAGGCCGTCGTCATTCGTCGTCTCCGCTGCGCTCCTCCACCTCGTCCTGCCGCTCGTCGTTTTCGTCCTCCCCACGCTCCTCGTCATATGCCCTCCTCTCTCCGCCGCTTGTCTCTTTACCTCCACCCCATTGCCGCTCTTTCTCCACTCTCCTACTCCCTCGTCCTCCTCTCTCCCCTTTATCTCCTGTCTCGTCTGCTGTAACATATCCCTCCTCCTCCTTTGTCCTCCGCTATATTCGACCTCTCTGGGAGTCTTCAGAAGTATCCTGGAATCTCCGCCGTCGTCGTCGAAGACTTCGTCATCGTCGAAGTCGTCATCGAAGTCGTCGTTGAAGTCGAAGTCGTCGTCATTAAAGCCCTTTCCTAGAAGGACATGATTGTTGCTCCCCGGGGCTCTCGCGCCTTTACGCCGGCCGCATGTTCTTTGACAGCGACGCTCCCGCTTGAGCGCGGGTTCGGGTCCAAATCCCAGTCCCCGAAGGACGACAACGACTCCAGCTCGATATTGCACTCTGGGTTTCTTAATAAGCGTGGGTAGCCCTCCGACGGGGGTCAAGCCTCGTCGTTGCGCCGCGACGGGGGTCGGAGCGCCTTCGGCGCGCGGAGGCTGCGCATGTCCCTCTACAGGAGGAATGTGAAACTAGTCAAAAAATAGTCTGGGTGCGATGTTTTGACTATGTTTGGCTATGTTTCAGCATGTTTTGACAATGTTAATCTGTTGCTCCAAAATCCGCCTGTAGGAGGACATGCCCGACTTCAGTTTGGGTCCAAATCCCAGTCCCCGCAGGACGACAAAGGCTCCAGCTCGATACTTTCAATCGTAACTTACTCCGAGACGCCCAGGCCAGAGAGGCTCCCAAACTCAGGAACGGCGTTCTCGCTCGAGACATCCGCCCAGCTGTGACGGCAATGGCTTCCGCTGAGCACGTCCGCACAATTAATTCGAGGAATTTGGGCTACAGAGACCTTGAAACAGGAATTGCGATCTCGCGCGAGATTTCACACAATTCAATCAAGTTGGCAACGGCCCAGCTACGACGATAACGGCTCACGCTCTACAGTTATTTACAATTTACTCGCGACGCTCTGGCCCGAGAGGCCCCGAAACAGGGTCGGCTCTCTCTCTCTCTCCTCTCTAGAGAGAGAGAGAGAGAGAGAGACGTCAAGTTGGTGAGTTGCCCGCGGGCGCCGCGTTAGTTCGCATTGCGGCCATGGCGGCGCGGTGCACATACAGAGTGGATTGTTGAATGCTTCTACCACGAGCACGTGGGAAAATAGTCTCCCAAAGGGGTGGTTCATAGATTTAGCGGGCGGGTCCAAGTGAGAGGGAGAAATTGATGAAGGTCACATTTGTTTTGGTGTCGCATGTTCAGACGGTCGTTGCCGTCGTTGCGCTTCCACCCCAAGATGGCCCTTGACACTGCCAGCAGGCCCCCACTAGGCGCCGAATTGGCACGAGTGGTGAGGAAGTCTCAAGCGAAAAGCCAGCCAGCCCCGACGACAAGACTGAATCTGGCCTGAGAACTTAGACGGAGCTGCACTCGGACTCGGACTTCGGATTGGATTGGACTGGAAGTTTCCGGCGCCCCTGCAAGTCTCCAGAGGCTCCAGGAGGTTCCTAGAAGCCCGCACGGAGCCCGCAGCGTGGAGCATTGTTGATTGAGCATGGCGACGAGGCTGTTGGAGCCTCTTTTTCTTTTTCTCGACCTCTGGAGATCCCCGAAACTCAGAAAGAGCCACAAACGTGCACCTCCGTCCTTCGTCCTCCTCGAGCCTTTGGGCTGTCTTGGGGGGGCACTCTGGACGCCTCGGACGATCTGTAAGGCCTAAGATGGCTTGAGATCGAAAAGCCGAGAAAGAAAGCCAGGGGCAACGATGGCGACGACGAGGGCAACAAGGGCATCGGCGGCGGCGACGGCAACAGTGACGACGACGACGACGACGACGACGACGACGACAACGGAGGCCAGGGCGGCGAGGATGAGTCGTCGTGGACGACGAAAACGACGACAACGGCGACGACGACGACTGTCTGGACGACTGTCTCGACGACGATCTCGACGACGAGGGCGACGACGGCGAGGTCGACGAGGGCGACGACGGCGGCGGCGGCGGCGACGACGATGCTGAAGGAAACGCCGACGGTGGCGACGACGGTGGCGAGGCGCGTCGACGTCGCAGCCGCGGGAGCCCTCGGCCAGCCCGCGGTGGTCGCCACCGCCCGAGCGGCAGGCGCCGCCGCCGGCGCGGCCGCCGCCGCGGTCGCCCTCGCCGTCGTTGCCGCCGTCGAGCTTCGAGGGGGGGCTCGAAGAGGAGGACTGGGTATAGTCGGTCTATACATCCCCCCTGCTCCCTGGCCAGGCCCGCCTTGAACTCAGGAGCTGTGTGTACGCCCTCCTGGCCATGCCGACAGAGCGTGGTGCATACACCGCTGGTGGGTTCACGATGGGATGGGCTTGGCCAGAAAGCACTGGATGTGTAAAGATTTCGTCGCCCTATATGGCCAGGACCCTGGGTAAGGCGAGCCGATTAGTGATTGGGCCTCGAAGCCCTCCCTAATCGGCCAGAATCCTGACACCAAGTTTGCCGTAGCTGGTGTCTCTTCGGGTCACGGCAGTTCCATGTACTGGAACGGGGCGGGAAGGCGGCTTTTGGTACACATCATTCAATCAGGTTTCACTCAACCCAGACCCGCCAACGCTCGAGAGGAGGAGGAACCGATGAGATTTCTGGCGTTTGGACAATTTTGGGGGTCTCTGGAGATCGTCGCCGCTGCCACCGTTGTCATCGCTGTTGTCAAGAGGAGGTTGCTTTCACATGCCACCATCGATCCTCCAAGCTCCTCCTCCCTCCTCCTTCCTTCTTCTGTGTCTCCTCCCTGCTCATCCCTCTTCCCCCCCTCCCTTCCTCCTCCTTTCCTCGTCCTTTCCTCCCTCCTCCCTCCTTCCTCCCTTCTCACCCCCTTCCCTCCCTCGTGCTTCCTCCTTCCTTCTTCTTTCGGGCCGCGCATTCGGCCTGACAAGCGCGCGCGGCGGCGCGCGGTCGGGCCGGCCTGCGATCACGTACTGGCGTGTGTCGGCGCAGCGGAGGCTGGGCCGTGACCGCGCCCCGTGATTGGAGGGGGCTTCGGGGAGAGGCTGCAGAAGCATCGCACGGAGCTTCCGAGGAGGCAGCAAGGCTTCGGTGAGCACGACGAACGAGAAGGAGAAGACGCTGGGCCACCAGGGCTTATGAGGCGAAGCGGCCGAGGAGGATGCGGAGGACGCAGCCGTTTTCCCCCGTGGTGGGAAGGCGCACGGGGCAACGGGCGGGCGCCGAGCCGCTCGCGCCAGGCCAGCCTGGTCCGCAGAGGCGAGTGTTTGGTGTGCCCGAAGTGCCCCAGTGGTGCAAGCTGGGCCTGGGCCACAAGAGCGGACACCCCTGGCTGGGAGAGCTGCCGCAGTTGCGACTACAAGTGGCCCAAGTTCCCGGCAGACGGCCAGCAAGCGCAGCTCGAGAAGCAAACGCTGACCAAGCTGGGGCTCAACGACACCAGCTTGCAGGCGCTGCGGGCGGTCGTCACCGCGGCCAAAAGCTCGGGCGACAGCACTTGGTGGAGGCAGCGGCCCAGTTGGCCAAGTTTCCCGCACGGGCGGCCGCGGCCGCAGCGAAGCAGCCGAACGAGCCGAACTTGGGGGTCAAGTTGGAGACGGCAGCGCTGCGTGGGCGCCAAGCAAAGCAGCACCAGGATCAAGCGGCCAACCAGCTCGCGCAGATGGAGCAGCGCAAAAAGGAGCTGGTCGGCAAAGTGGATGAGGCCATCAGCGAGGCGCTCGCGGCCAAGCTGGATCTGGACGCGCTGCAGCAGGAGATGCGCCAGACTGGAGGAGCCTCGACCGAGCACGCAGCCCCAGCTACGGCGCCTGCCGACACTTGGGGCGAGTTCCCGACGAGGAGAGCAGCAAGAAGTACCAGCATGCGGCAGGCTTGGCGGCGAGGGCCAAAGACATGCTCGAGGCTTGCAAGAAAGAAGGCAGCTCGGTCAAGGAGGTGGCCGATGCGTTCAGATGAATACAGGCCAAGGCCATGCGCCACAAGCGCAGACGTGGCGAAGACGGCAAGGAGGAGGAGCTAAAGTCGACTTCTCAGACCATGAGCAGCTGGCCAAGGACATCGATCAGACCGCCACCAGCAAGGCCCGCCAGAAGGCTGGCACGGCTGCTGCAGATGCCGATACTCGCACCACCGCAGGCACTGGCCCGCCAACTGGGTAGCAGCTGGGACGAGGGCAGCGGCGGCGGCAGGGGGCGGGCGCGCTGGGCTGCTGCCGGCACGACCAAGTCGCTCGGCAAGGGGGGCGGCGAGAGGAGCGGCCTGGGGGCTAAGCCCGAAGGCCAACGCACCGGGTCAAACAGCTGGGGCTGCCTGCGATCAATTGCCCCAGCGACCGACGGGGCGACGGGTGCCTCCAGCCAACCGAGGGGCGGGGCAGCAGCTACTGCTGCGAGGACAAGACCATCAAGTAGGTGCGCTTAATAGGCGACACGAACGGCGCGCATGCGCGCGGGCCAGACTGCGAGCTGCAGTCGACAGTCCAGCGCGAGCAGCCGATGGACAGCGGCAGGACTGACGAAGCCAGCGCAGGAGCGGAATGGATAAGGCAGGTCTCGTCGTTCGGCAACTCGCCGCGTTTGAAGCAGCGGGGGAGCGTGCAGGTCTTTCTCGGCAACTGCAAAGGCCCTTCATCCGCGGGCTGGAGGCGGTTCGGCAGATGCGACCGCGCCTTTGCGTAGTAGCGGGGCCTGGAGAGGCACGGGCCAGGGCGGCCCAACTTCGCCGAGGGCAGAGCTGCCCGCGAGCGCGCGAATGACCCCGACGCGCCAGAGGGCGAGAACGACGCAGAGCAACTATTACGCCCCGACTCAGGCAACTTGCCGGCACCCCCATGATCCACGGCGAGAGGGACTGAACCAAGGCGCGCAGCAACATAGGCATGGACGCCTTGCGCGCCCCCATGCGCGGACCATTCTTCACGGGACTGGACAACGAGGCTGCCGAGCGTGAACGGCGGCGACGGGCGGCCGAATGGCGCGCGGACGCGTGGCAGGCCACCGACGTCAATAGGGGGGGGAACTGGCTACGCTCACAGGCATCAGATGGAGAGGAGTACGAACGTGAATGAGCAGCGCCCCATGCTCATGAACAAGCAGACAGCTGCGCCCTCGAGAACACAGGGGCGGACGGGGGTCCGATGGAGGCGCCGAACGCCCAGCAGCCGCCAGCGACGCAGCCAACACCGATCAGGTCGAGACCACCAATGAAGACGCAGCCCGGACCTTTCAGCGGCCCAAAGCACAGACCAAGTGGCAGCGATGCAGGGGCCGAAGGTGAGCCACACAGCGGGGCCGCCGATGTCGGCAACGGGCGGCGCCGCAGGCTGGCGGGCGAGGCTGAGCCAGACGCGTCAGGGGACAGGTTCTACCAGGACAACTCCAGCGACGCAGATGTCCCACGTGGCGAGGCCGGGGCAGGCGGGGCAGCGGCGGGGGCGCATGGAGCTGGCGGAGGCCGCGAGGGAAAAGAAGAACAGCCAGCCAGCCCGACATTTCCTTGGACAGTGAGATCGTCGGCGGGGAGCCCCACCAGAGACAGGCGGAGCACAGACTGCAGTGTTGGCAGGAGGAGAGCCAGGCCTGGAGTCGCAAATGCGATCGACTATTGCGCAAGCCGCGTCGACTCGCTCCCAGACGAAGCCCAAGAGTTTGAACAGCCTGACAGACACCCTCGACGAGCAGTCGGGGCAAGGCGGCAGCCGGAGTGACCAAGCTGCAGCAGAGCATGGCAAAGGCCACACTAGACAGGCTGAGGACGACCACGGCAAGTGTGACGGAAGAGGTGGAGACGGCGGACGCGAGCAGAGCGGCGCCGAAGGTGGAGAGGCCGCGTTCGCGATGGGCGCCGCGCTGACAGTTGCAGCGGTCGGAGCGGGCGAGGCACCCCGCCAGCACCGCAGCAGGCGCGCGTTCGCAAGCACGCCACCAGCGCACAAGGAGCGAACGTTGGCAGCAAGGCGGCCCGCCTGGCAGCAGCGGCCACGCTCGGCGTTCGAGGAGAGGCGGACCAGGATGACGACAAGCCCAGCAGCACAGCAGGCGGAGTGCAGAGGGCGTGGGAAACGCCGTTCGAGCGGAATGGCGGGGCAGCCTGCTAATGGCGGGCGCGTGCGCAGGCGGGCGCAGCACCATTGTTGCCATCACGCCGACGGGCAGGAGCCCAAGCGAGTCAGCACGCAGCGTGCCTAGCGCGGCGGGCCATCCATCCGCCCCCTGATGTGAGGCAAGGCCTGGCCCGGCGCAGTTCGCTACAGCAGGAGGAGGAGGCGGCGCAGACGGCCGCCGCGGCGCACTGAGGAGGCTGCCGCGGCAGCGCGCGGGCGCTGGTCGGCCGCGCGCCGCGCTCGGCATGGGCCCGTGTGAACACTCGGCTGGGGGTGGGGGGGCACGACGCATGCCTCCCCCACCCCGAAAGCTGTTCCAAAAGTTGTTCATTCCTTCTTCCCTTCTCCTCCTTGCTCATCCCTCTTCCCCTCCTCCCTTCCTCCTCCTGTCCCTGCTGCTGCCGCCACCCACGCCACCATCGCACAAAAACCCCGGGGCCCGGCGCCGCCGCCTCTCCCAGGGATGCCAGTGCGTCGAAGCCGCCGCCGCCGCCGCTGTCGTCGCCGTCGCCGCCGCCGCCGTCGGTCGTCATCATCGTCGTCGCCGTGGCTGGGCCCCGCCAGGACCTGGCGCCGTCGTCGTTGTCGTCCTCACTGTCCTCGTCGTCGGGTCCTCCTCGTCTAGCCCACTGTCCTCCTCGTCGTCTTTCGTGTCCCTCTCTCCGACTTTTCGCCTCCTCCTCGCTCCCCCCTCTCTCCTACTCCGCCTTCCCCATTCAACGTGCCTCCAGCTGCTCCTGTTCCCCTTCACCGTTATCACTGTCCTCTGTGATCCCCACTCCTCGTCCCTCTCTTCCTGGCATTTGTCCTCTTTCTCCCTCCCGGGGGATGAAGGACGAGGAGGGAACGCCTTCCATCCGCGTGGCTGCTCCGCCTCAGCAGGCGCCAGGCGTGTTCGAGTGGCCTTCGGCACATAGCGCCACTGTGTCTGGGTTCTGGGTCAGAGTCCTAATGTGTGCCTCTTGGTGTGCCTTCGGAAGGCTCTAGGCGGCCTCTGGGGGGCCGTTTTGATACCTCTCGGGGGCCTCTCGGAAGCCTCTTGGGGGGGGCCTCCTGGCCTTGGGGAGCCTCCTGGGCGCCCCCTGGGGGCTCGAGGAGCGGAGAGCTCGAACTGTCGGCTCGTGTTCCCCCTTCTGGGATCCCTGTTCGGCGCGTGTTTGAGGCCCTTTTTGAGGTGTCTTCGGAGGCGAAATGGATGGTTTTACGTGAGTACTTGGCCGTCTCGGCAGCCTCTCGGGGGTTTCTTCAGCCGATCTTTGTGGCCTTTGGGGGCCGTCCTGGAGCGCCGGCAACCAGAAAAGACGGAAAGCCCAACATCCTTCCAACGTAAAAAGCAACATGCATGATGTTCGCGTCTTGGGGCCGTCTTGGGAGTGTTCTTGGGTCTTGGAGCGATGTTTTTGGCGAGTTGGGTCCCTCATGGACACACTGGAGAGTTCGGAGGGTCGCCGTGCACGGGTACAGCGTCCAGAGGACCAGCAGGAAACGTCCCATAACTCACAGGGGTACAGTCGGGCCGCTGAAGAAGGAACCCTTTTCGTTGGGGAGGGGCGCAGTGTTTCTTAATCGTCTTAGATTTGTTCTTACGTGTTCCTTAGGTATTCTCTGGGAAATTGAAGTTAAACTTAAGGAGCATGGGGCTTCGTTCCTTGTGTATCGTTCCTTAGGTCAACGCCCCGATTGTAGCCACAGAAGACCCCCAAACGGCTTGGAGCCCCGAAGTCCCAGGCCTTTCTACAAAACTACCATCGTGCCTGTACGCAGCGGCAGCACAGTTGTAAGCCTTGGTGGCACCCTACTTCGTGCCAGAGGCACGGTGGCGGATGTCTGGAGGAAGCCTCGGGCGATGGCTTGAATTAGAAAGAAGTGTGTTGAAGCTGTTCCAGAAAAACGTGCTCGGCGTCGAAGGTTTGCTGAAGACGAATATGCGTTGTGCTATGGAGAGAGCCACATTTTGTAAGCGAGCCGCCCTCGATTCATGTAACGGTTGGGAATTTCAATATGCAGGATCATAGATTGCGAGGAAATTTCAGGCATCAATCTCCCGTATTGGCAGGTCCAGTATGTTCCGAGGAGAGTTGTCCATGAGGAAGAAGTAGGGAAAGAAAGAGAGAGAGAGAGAGAGACAAAAAAAAATACCCTGCGACGTACCCAACCCAATGCAATCACGTGGCAAGAAGAGTAGGGAAACATTAGCAGGAACAATGACAATGCATGCGCGGCGATTTGTAGTGCAAGCTGCATGGGACACGTAATGTTGCACGACTCTCAGGACAGGGATGGCGAGGTCTAATCTGAGTCCCCGTACGACGTCACTCCGTGCCCCCCCCCCAGCAGCCCTCGAAAGTGGCGACAGTTTCACGGATCGCAGCCCCCCAGGGATGGCGAGGTCTAATATGAGTCTCCGTAAGACGTCACTGTGCTGGGCCCCCCCAGCAGCCCTCGAAAGCGGCGACAGTTCACGGATCGCAGCCCCACAGCGATGGCGAGGTCTAGTCTGAGTCCCCGTAAGACGTCACTGTGCTGGGCACCCCAGCAGCCCTCGAAAGTGGCGACAGTTTCACAGATCGCAGCCCCACAGCGATGGCGAGGTCTAATATGAGTCCCCGTAAGACGTCACTGTGCTGGGCCCCCCAGCAGCCCTCGAAGGTGGCAACAGTTTCACGGATCGCAGCCCCACAGCGATGGCGAGGTCTAATCTGAGTCCCCGTAAGACGTCACTGTGTTGGGCCCCTCAGCAGCCCTCGAAAGTGGCGACAGTTTCACGGATCGCAGCCCCACAGCGATGGCGAGGTCTAATATGAGTCTCCGTAAGACGTCACTGTGCTGGGCCCCCCAGCAGCCCTCGAAAGTGGCGACAGTTTCACGCATCGCAGCCCCACAGCGATGGCGAGGTCTAATCTGAGTCCCCGTAAGACGTCACTGTGCTGGGCCCCCCAGCAGCCCTCGAAAGTGGCGACAGTTTCACAGATCGCAGCCCCCCAGGGATGGCGAGGTCTAATCTGAGTCCCCGTAAGACGTCACTGTGCTGGGCCCCCCAGCAGCCCTCGAAAGTGGCGACAGTTTCACGGATCGCAGCCCCCCAGCGATGGCGAGGTCTAATCTGAGTCCCCGTAAGACGTCACTGTGCTGGGCCCCCCAGCAGCCCTCGAAAGTGGCGACAGTTTCACGGATCGCAGCCCCCAGCGATGGCGAGGTCTAATCTGAGTCCCCGTAAGACGTCAGCAGACGACAGGATCGGCCCCTGAGTCCCCGTCACAGCAGCCCTCGAAAGTGGATCGTTTCCGTAAGACGTCAAGCAGCCCACGACAGTTTCACGGATCGCAGCTGGCGAGGTCGAATCTGAGTCCCCGCAAGACGTCACTGTGCTGGGCCCCCCAGCAGCCCTCGAAAGTGGCGACAGTTTCACGGATCGCAGCCCCCCAGGGCCCCCCAGCAGCCCTCGAAAGTGGCGACAGTTTCACAGATCGCAGCCCCCCAGCGATGGCGAGGTCTAATCTGAGTCCCCGTAAGACGTCACTGTGCTGAACCCCCCAGCAGCCCTCGAAAGTGGCGACAGTTTCACAGATCGCAGCCCCCCAGGGATGGCGAGGGGCAAGCGACGTAAAAGGCAAGAGAGAAGAGGAGGACCGAAGTTGAGAAGTGAAGGGAAGCAAGAGAGAAGAGGAGCGAAGAGAGGAGAAGGGATGCAAGAGAAAAGAGGAGGAGGAGGAGGAGAAGGGAGGAGAGGAGGGGGACGGGAAGGAGGAGGAGGGGAGACGCGACCGCAGTGCTCTATTCAAAACGAGTACCCAACGCAGGAGGATTGGGAAATAGACAGTGGGACGAGGAGCATGGAAAAACGGTGTTTGGGTAGTGGAAGGTGCGGAAGGATTAAAGGGGAAGAGAAGAGGAGGGAGGGGAGGAGGCAGGTAAAGTTGGGGAAGACGAGAATAGAAACGAAGTCAACCGACGACGACGACGACGACGGCGACGACGACGAGGACGACGACGACGACGACGACGACGACGACTACGGACGACGGACGACCGACGGACGAACGACGACAGACGACGACGACGGACGACCGACGACCGACGACCGACGACGGACGAACGACGACAGACGACGTCGACTCACGACGACCATGACGACGACGTCGACGACGACGGCGACGTCGACGACACCGACCGACCGACCGACCGACAAACCAACCGACCGACCGAACGACGGCCAACGACGTCGACGTCCAGAGGCCCGCGGGGGCTCCGGAAGGAGAGGCCCCGGACGTCCCACCGGGGGCCCGTGGAGGCTCTTAGAAGCCCCCCGGACGCCCAGACAGGGGCCAGCAACTCCAGAGGAGGAGGAGGCAGAGGAGGAGGAGGAGGAGGAGGAGGAGGAGGTGAAGGAGGAGCAGGAGAAGGAGCAGGAGCAGGACGAGGAGCAGGAGCAGAATGAGGAGCAGGAGCAGGATGAGGAGCAGGAGCAGGAGCAGGAGCTACTCGGCGAGTCGGCGACGGCGGCGACGGCTGCGTCTGCCCACTGACCACCTGGGCTGATGCCTAGAGACGCCCCAGAGATGGTGGCGTTGCAGGCGCGTGTCCAGGCTCGTGAGGAAGCTGCAAAGTTAGCTTCTGCGCGCAACGCCTGATAGGCGTTGGTAACGCCTGATAGGCGTTGACCGTGCTGTGCCTGGAGCTTCTTAGTGAGGCTGGCCAGGGCAGCGCTGGTGTTTGTCTCCCCCATCATGCTGGAGGGCATCGATTGATAATACACTGGTCAGGCCCTGTGGGATTGCTGATGACTGGCGGCAGCGACGACGACTGCACTGGGCCTCCACTCGGTACGACCGACATGGGTGGAGAGAGAACGGCGGGTACGATGCCGAACAGCAGTTCCTGCTCATTTTGATTGAACAGGACACGCTGTCCGCGCCGCCGCGGACGTTGTCCATTTGAGACAGAAGGCCGCCTGCCCAACAGCGGCCGCCGTCGGTTTTGGACGACATTTGTTGTTGGGCACCGCACCCACTTGTTCCGTACCCATTCCGGGCGTCCAGATCCACGGCCGCGGCCCAGGAGCCCCCGCCGAGCGCAGTGGAGCCCCCGTCGGCTGCGGCCTCCTGTGCCTCGGATGCCACCGTGAACCCGCGGGCGATCGGCGCGCTCGCACGGCGGGGCGGGGAGGCCGCGCGGCCGCCGTCGTCGCCGTGGCGGTCTCCGCTGCCAGCCGCCGGCGCAGCCGTCGCCGTGGCGGTCGCCTCCGCCGCCGTCGTCGCTGCAGCCGTGGGCGTTTCCTTCTCGGATTGGCCATCCGGCGGGAACCACGGGAGGCTGGCGCGCCGCCGTCGTCGGGTCGCCATCAAAGCCGCCGCCGCCGTCCTCCCCGTGGGGGCGCTCTGGCTCCGTGCCGGAGCCGCGCCCCCCAAGGGGGAACGAGCGCCTCCGTTCCGTCCCCCACCCCCCTCCCCCTTCTCTATTGGGGTGGGCTGCAGGGCGGGAAGGGGGCTCCAGGTGGGGGACGTCCTGCTCGCACCTGGCGGGGGCCTGTTCCCCCCAAGCAGTTCTTCCATTGAGGGGTTCTTATTGCGAAGCCCTCACGGCAAGTTACGCCGACCTAGAAAGACGACGACGACGACGACAACGACGAGCGGATGACCCTGTCAGAGGCTCGGGACATGAGGCGGGCTTTGGGGGGAGGAGGAGGAGGAGGAGGAGGAGGAGGAGGAGGAGGAGGAGGAGGAGGAGGAGGAAGAGGCGGAGGAGGAGGAGGAGGAGGGGGAGGGAGGGGGAGGGGGAGGGGGAGGGGGAGCGGGAGGAGGAGTAGGAGGAGGAGGAGGAGATCCGTAGCCATTTTGGCTCAAGGCTAAACGTTGTGAAGGGCTAGACGCCCGAGAATCAGCGATTAGCTTTTGGCCCGTCCGTGGCCATCTCTCGAACTTGCTGGCCTGCAGGAGGCCGTCTCGCTTCTTCGGTTCTCGGCACATGGCTCCCAGCGGGCCCCGCAGCAATGGCAAGCCCTCGTCATACTGGGGCGGCCAAGTCTGGACATGTGCTGACAAGAAGTGCAAGTTCACGAACAATTTCGGATGGAGGCGCACTTGTTTCTGTTGCGGCGCTCAGAAGCCTGGAGTCGAGAGTCGTCCAAAGGCAGGTTCGTCCGACAGGAACGGCCAAGGATGACAAGCTCGAGGACTGCCAGGTGCAAGCCCTTCTCGCTCTCGATGATGCTCAGTTTTGCGCTCTTGTGGCTCTTCTGCCCGGTCAGCAGCGAGCACGCATCGTCGCGCAGAGGGCGGTCAAGTCTGGCGACCCCGCAGCAGTCTCGAAGGAGGCCAAAGTCGAGCACGACATCCTCAAGGCCAAGGTCTCCAAGGCCGCCGCGGCGCTTGATCGTGCCAAGGCGCAGCTGGCCTCGCAGGTGCTGCGTGTCGCGTCCCTGCAGGTCGAGCACGACGCGCTGCTGGCCAAGGAGAAGGTGGCGGCCAAGCGTGCGGCCGACGCATACGGGCAGTTGTCGGGAGGTGTGGCGGCTCCTGCAGCTGACGCTCCTCAGCCACATGATCCTGCTGTTGTCCTGCGCTCGCAGCTGGTCGCCCTGGGTTGTGAGGCCACCGTCCTGGGTGACTTCGACAGGCTCATCGCGGCCCGCGATGCAGCAGAGGCCGAGCGGCAGAGGAAGGCCCAGGCTGATGCGGCCCAGGCCGCGGCGGCTGGCGGTGTGGCTCCTGGCGTCGTTGGTGATGCCGCTGAAGTTCCTGTCCCAGGCGCCCCTGCGTGCTCAGACAACGACGTCAGCATGTCCATCTCGTTCAGCGACCTCGACGGCGACTGGATTGACGATCTCATCAAGAGTGCCAACGACGCTGAAGCAGGTGATGGAGACTCTGAGGCCAAGGGCGGAATCACCCGCTCAGCTGTGCAGGCAGCGCTCGAGGAGGCCCTTGAGCGTGCAAAGAAGGCCAAGCATGACAAAGCCTCGGAGGGGTAGCACGCCTTTTCGCGCGCGGGCGCGGGCCCCTCGTGTCTGGACATTTTTAACCTGCAATGTTACAGAGCGAGCTGGGCTTGACATTTTCATTTCCTCCCCTCACTCCCTGAGCGCTGATGTGCTCGCCGCTCAGGAAACTCATATCGCGGACACTGAGGCGCAGGAAGCTGCGCTGCGTGCCCAAGGTCGTCGAGCACACTTCTATCCAGCAATTCCCACGGGCCGCGGGGGTACCTCTGGAGGCCTCATGATTGCCACCCCGAAGCACCTTGTTTTGTCTAGAGTGGAGGGCTACTCTGATAATTTTGCACCAGGTCGCGTTGGGATGCTGCATCTTGGAGGCGTAATACCTGGGGGAGTTTTGGTGGCCAGCATCTATCTACATCATAGCGTTGGCCTTTCCCCTCAAAACTGGATTATTCTATATGACCTGGGGGCCCAGCTAAAAGCCATTGGAATACCGTTTATTCTGATGGGTGATTTCAATCTGGAGCCTGAGGTCTTGGATTACAGCGGATGGGTATCTGCCCTTGACGCTGTCATCGTCGCATCGGAAGGTGGAACGTGCCGCCCAGCCGATCGTGCGATTGGTTTTTTTGTAGTCAGTCGCGAGCTCGCCGCAGGAGCTCAGGCAACTGTACTGTACGGCGTCACCACGGCGCCGCATTACCCTGTTCAGCTTAGGCTTGCGTGCACGAAGGGCTCCTATCGTGTCAGGGTGGCTAAGGTACCGAGGCGTTTCCCCACTGTGGTTCCTGCTGGGCCAAGGGATCGGCCCCCTGGAGGCCGCTGGGATCATGTGAGCAACTATGTGCAGTCTGGGGATATCTCGAAGTCTTGGGAGTCCTTTGGCCAGGCTGCGGAGCTCGAGTTTCCCGACGTGCACCAGATTGACGATGATGCAGCCCAGAGCTACTTGGGACGAGGGGGACAGATCGAGGTTTCCTGGAGCACTCCTGGACGACCTGGGCCGCCTGCTTCCCCGAGGGTTTCCCCAGTGGCTACATGGTGGCGCAGTGTTGGGGTTTTGTTTTCGGGGTTTACCAAGCCGTGCAGCTCTTTCAGGACTCGAGAGCTGTGTCGGGCTGCACATCGCCTTCAGGTGTCTAAGCACGTCGCGAGCACGTACGCCTACTGCTTCTGCCGCATGATCGACCTGCTCATGCACCCCGACATGCTCTATTCGATTGCTGCTTTCCTTCCCCAGCTCGCTTGTCAGCAGGCTACCTACTTGCGTCGTCAGAGCGCCGCTCAGAAGGCGGCAGGGTGGGAGCAGTGGGTCAAGAGGCATTCTGCCAATGGCGCTGCTGCTCTCTTTCGCTACGCTCGCCTGCCAGATCCCTGGCAGACTTCCTCTAGTGTGCAGCTCGCGCCCGCCAGCAGCATGCAGGAGATTCAAGTCCTGGAGGCCGAGCGGAAGAAGTGGTGGAGGGTCGGAGCCAAAGACCCTCCTCTCAAATGGCCCTCGGACCTGGGGGAAAGACCCCCTGCCCCCCACCCTGGAGCACCTCAAAAGGGCCCTGAGGACGTTCCCTGTGGGGACTGGTTGTGGTTTCGACCAGCTGCCGCCACGGCAGCTGTTGTGCCTCCCTGACGAAGCGCTCGAGATCTGTTGCCAGTTGATCTCCTGCACAGAGCACAAGGTCGAATGGCCGTCGATGACCATCAGAATGATCTTCATTTTAAAGCGGCTTGGTGGAGTGCGACCACCCGCTTTGCTTCACTGTCTTTGTCGCGTTCAGGCGCGACTCAGGAGAGCTGTTCTACAGAAATGGCAGACAACTATATATACTTATGGTGGGCCATTCGTGGAAAATCGTCGGAGCTGTCGGTCTGGCTTCAAGCGGGCTGGGCTGAGTTTCATTCGGACTCGGGCAGTGACTCGGCGACCCTTCTTGTCGACCTCAAGAAGGCTTTCGTGCTCGTTCGGCACGAGCACCTCACATCTGCAGCTGTCCGAACGTCGTTTCCGCTCTGGCAGCTTAAGTTGCTTGTGCTAGCATTTCGCGCTCCCAGGGTGATAGAGTTGCAGGGGCCCTGCAGCGAACCCATCAAGGTCGACCAGACCATTGCACCTGGCTGCCTGTTCTCCACCTGCCTCCTTCAGCTCCTGCTGATCGGGCCTTTAGACGAGGCTAGGAAGGAGTATCCCACGGTGCCCATCGCTGTTTGTGTTGATGACATTTGTTTGCAGGGATGTGGAACCGCTAGCAGGGTTATCAGCGAGGTCACGGGGGCTGGGGCTACGCTTAAGCACGAGCTGACGAAGGTAGACCTCATCATTGCCCTTGGCAAACCCAGGGTGCTTGCGAGCACCCCAGATACCCAGCGCCGTTTACAGCGCAGGCTTATTTCCGTCAAGGCGCTTGGAGCGCACTCTGAGCGCAATCTCGGCGTTGACTACTCTGCTGGGCGAGCTACTAAGAGACGGACGCGTGGAGCACGCATACCTGTGGCTAAAGCTAAGCTCAAGCGTTTGATGCACCTGCAGGGCGCGCATGCACGCAAGAAAACATTGCAGCACATGGCGCGCGCGTCCATCGAGACCACTGTCACGTTCGGCACGGCTGTACAGGGCACGAGCATGAGCGAGCTTGATACACTACGTACTATGGTTGCAGCGCCACTTGGGGCTAAAGCCGCTGGGAGATCACGCACGCTTGCCCTGTTGATGACCCCCAGCCCGGAGTTCGACCCTATTTACCGTGCCACGCTGGCGCCCGTCAAGGCCTTCACGCACGTCCTCTGGAGGGCCCTGATGCTGATCAGCACGCTGCAAAAGGGGCTTGCTGCTGCTGCTGCCAGGTTGGGCTCCCGCAGTTCCCCGCGGCAGGCCATTAAGGGGCCCTTCTCGGCACTTTGGGCCTCTTTAAAGCGTGCGGGTGTTGATGCCAGCGATACGCGGGCTTGGGTCTGCCCGAGTGGCCAGGTCATCGACCCCGCCCAGCTCTGCCCCAGGTCCGTACAGGTGCTGATCGAGAGGGCCATTGTCGCCTGGCAGATGCAGAAGGTCTCAGAGCATTTCGAGGTGCCTGAGTTTCTTGGGGGAGTCTGGATCGAGCCTCCCAGGGCGCTCTGCAATTCCATGATCCTGTCGGCCCAGGAGGCGGCCTGCTTGCGTTCGGTCGTCATTGGTGCCCAGTGGACGCAGGCCAGGCAGCACGAGCAAGGCTGGATCCAGGACCCCCTTCTGCAGGCTTTGTAAGGCTTTCCCAGGCACGCTTCTGCATAGGCACGCCAGCTGCGAGCACATCACAGAGCTCGTAGGCCCCGTGCCGACGATGGTCAGCATCTTTGCAGAGCGCGCCAGCACCAACAAGTTGTTTCAAGCATTCATCGAGCGGCCCGTTCTTGCCAAGCCGCCCGTGCCGACAGATCTGCTCCAGTACCCTTTGCAGCCTTACCTCAGGTGGAAAGGAGGTGCCTCCAGTTGCACGGTGGATATTTATCTGGACGGATCATGTGTTGATGAGGTTCCCTCGTATCCCGTGGCTGGATTCTCTGCGGTTGCATTGCACCCTCTGGCGGATCGTGTCGCGTGTACAATTTCGGTCTTACTCCCTGGGCCGCATCAGGACATTGACGGAGCTGAGCTGTTTGCATTGTATATTGCTCTGCAGCATGCTATTCCTCCTGTGGCTGTGTAATCTGATTCGGTTTTCGTTGTCAGTGGAGTCAATCTGCTCGGAGAGGAGCGAACCGCCTGTGCCAGTTTTGCGCGGGCACACGTGTGGAAGCATGTCTGGCAGAAGATCCACGATTGGGGGGGGGGGGGGCGGTTTCACCATTGACAAGGTTTAAAGTCAGATCACCCGCAGGCAGGTGCGCGACGGTGTTCAGTCTGTTCGACACACTGAGGGTAACAAGCTTGCGGGTGAGGAGGCCAGATGCAGAGCCCACATGCGCAGGCCTGCGGTGGCCCTCAGAAAGCTCCTTTATCAGCACCAGAAAGTCGTGAAAGGACTGGGTGTCTGGGTTGCCAGTGTGGGGGCTGTATTATCTGAGAAAGATGTTTGCACCGAGAGCGGCGCGTGCGAGACCCTGAGGCCCCTCCCCCCCTAGTGCTCGTCAAAGCCCAGCCGCCCACGTTGCAGGAGCGTGCCACAGCCACTAAACAGCTGTTTGTTGTTAGGGGTTTGAGGCCGCACAAACTATACACGTTTATAGCCCCGACTGTGCCTGACCCCACCAGGTATGTCTGCTGTAGCGTGCGTGGTTGTCAGAGCTCCCACAGGCTTTCTAAGGGGCTCACCTCTCCGCGTCCCAAGCAGGCCCCTAAGTGGGGGAAGACCGCGGGGGCCCGCTTGCTGACTCAGGAGAGGTTTAAGATTGCCAATGCCTTGTTTCATGTGTCCGAGCTTCAAGCTCTTTGAGAGGAGATGATGACAGGCTCGCCAATCCCTCTTTGAGGTGGTGTCAGCATCGCTGGCACGCGGCGTGCATTTTCTGTTCTGATTCCTCTGTGCAGTCTGCAGGCGTCACACACGCTTCTAATCTTCTTCAAGCCGTGCGTGCCGCGCGCTGCCAGTCCTCTCTTTCTTTTGTTTGTTGTGCCCCCCCCCCCGCAGGCCCACATCGGTGGCTACGAGGTGGCTACCGCTGCCTCGCGTGGCGCCAGGTAAGTCACCACGCGAGGCAGCGGCCCAGTGTTGAGGCGGAGACATCGCGTCTGTCTCCAGCGCAGCGCCGAGGGGGAGGGGGAGGAGGAGGAGGAGGAGGAGGGGGGAGGAGGACGAGGAGGACCAGTGCAAGCCCAAGACCTCATCAACGATCTTAGCATAAACAAAACCTACCTCTAATTTCCCTCTTCACAGGCCCCATACAAGGGTTCATTTCCACTGGTGGAAGTGCCCCGTTGGGAGGCAACCGCCCTGAATCGCGCCGCAGCACCATTCCCGAGACTTCAACACCGCGAATCAACGCAAGTAGTGTGCCCTGACAATGTTGAATCGCTCCAAAAACCATGTCTGGTATGTCCGACACGGAAACCAATGAAATTCTTGCAAGTGTCTCTCAACCCCCATCTCTATTGGGGCGGGGTGTAGGGTGAGGAGAGGACTCCAGGTGGGTCATGTTTTGCTCGCGTCTGGCGGATGTGTTCTCCCCTAACACTCATTGCATTTAGGGGTTTTTATTTCTGTTCTTTGGAACTGGGCTGGTGTGCCGCTCTGGCGGCTATGTTGTCGCCGTCGCCGCCTCGTCGCCGCCCGTCGTCTTCGCCTTGTTGCACTACGTAGGTTTTCATTTCCACCCGATAATCAGGACCCACCACCCTCCCGAGGCCGGGACTTATCCGGTCCCCCTGGAGATGAGGAGTTTACATACGAGTCTGCCCCATCGTTCATTTTGGATACGAATTCCTAGCATCCCACCCAAATTGGGTTCCCCCCCACGCCGTGAAAAGCATTATGCCCGCGCACCAGTGGATCCCAAATCATCAACTTTCGAGAATCCTGTACAAAGGTAAACGTGACAAAGTGCACGCGCGCGTCGTCGCGCGCGCATGCCGAATCTAAGAATTCCAAGATGGAGCGCCCCTAAAACATAGGGACACCAATGGTACTGCAACATGGTCTGTGAACAAAAGCGCACTCTCTTGCGAGTTCTCAAGGTAACCGTTGGCTTTCCAACAACGATCAAATGCGATCAAAGGACCCTCTCGCGCACGCATGTCGACATCATTCGAACGTTCCTGCGCGAGCGCTGGGGGGCGCGATCCTTGTCAAAACGGACCATGCGGGCCACTCTCACGCGACGGCCGTGCGCGCATGTCGAACTCCTTCCAAAACCTTCATCACCGACGCGGGGACACCAGCATCGTTATTGGCGTGATCAATATCGGCGCCGCCATTGGCCTTGCCGTCGTCATCGTCATCGTCGTCACCAGCACCGTTACTCGCATCATCGTGTCTGCCGTTGTCGACGTCGCCGCGATACCGCGCTCGCCCGAGTCACCGACCCGGGTTGAAGCGCCTACGCGCCAGCGCGGCTTGCGAGACGCGTTGGAAATCCCCCAGCGATAAACGCCACCCTGGCAGCGCAAGACTCGCTGGTCGCTCTGCGATCAACCTTGCGCGCTAGCGCGGCCGCAGCGATGCGCCAGCGCCAATCAGTCACCGCAATCGCAGCCGCATGTTTTTTTTTTGTTCAAACTACGTTGCGGGTGGGTGGGCGGAATGACCGGGCGCAAACTTCAAGTTCGGTGGAGGCTTCTGCACGACAAAGATTGCACCACGTAGATTGCCACGTGCATATTGCATGCGCTAGCCGCGAGAGGCGTTTATTGCTGCAGCCCCCCAAAGCGTTGGGCTGGCATTAACTCCGCGCGTTCCCTGGTTCGCCCTGTCCTTCTCCTCGAATTTCTCGTGTTCTTCCTCCCCTTTCTCCTCTCCTTCGTACGCGACGGCGGCGGCGGAATAGCTTGTTTCGCCGCATTAGTTGTTCCAACCTTTTCAGTTAGCCCCTGGACATATAATTACATTCCAAGTCTGTACGCATGTGTGCGTATCATTAAAAACCTTTCGCGGTTACATAGACTGTACACCTTGAATACGCAACACCTATTGCACCACATGCATAGCGCCACCGAGATTGCCCCGCATATGTTGCACGACTCTAATTGCACCACATATATTATTTTTTTTTTCCCGAAAGAGTATTAGGATCTACCTTCCCACCCATCCCCGAACGGACCCCCTTTTTTTCCGCATTGCGAATTACATACGATGTTGCCCCATCGCCCATCCGAAATCCGAAGTCATACCATCCCAGGCAAGCCGACATCGCCCACCCATTCATCTATGGTGAACCAAAACTACGCGCGCACATTCGTTTTTCAAATGTTATTCGTTAAAACCGTTCCCTTACCCAAAAAAGGGCGCAGTGCACACGCGGGCGTCGCCGCGCGCGCGCCGCGCCGCGACCTCCACGTGTCGCAAGGACTTCAAAATCGAGTGCCCCGAACCAGAAAAATAACAACTTCTCAAAAAAACAAAACAAAAAGTGATTCAAAACAAGCTTGCGTTCGGGCTCTTGCGAATGTTCAAGAAAACCGTAGTTGATTATTTGTGTTTAAAATTTTGCTACCAAGCGCGGGCCCCTCGCGCGCGCACGCTGGAATCGCTCGGATGCCCTAGCGCGCGTTGTCGCAAGATTTTCTCGCAGAAGAACGGGGCGAAATGCATGCGCGCGCGTCGTCGCGCGCGCAGGCCGGGGATTTCAAAATTGAACGTCCCGAACAAATAAGTAGATCAAAAAACACACGGTTTGGCAACACCCGTCTTCAATAACGCCTGCGTTCGTACTCCTGCGAGTCCTTGGGGAAACCGGCGCCGTCGCTGGCCTTTTCCGTCTTCGTTGTCATCATCATCGTCACCAGCCCAGCATCGTTATCATCATCATCGCGCTTACCATTGTCGACGTTGCCATGATACCGCGCCCGCCCAAGCCGCCGACTCGCACTGAAGTGCCCGCTGGGAATTGCCCAGCGGTCAGCGCCACCGCGGCCGCGTCGGTCGCGCCAAACTATCTGGCCGCTGCGCGCGCGAGCGCGCGCGGGCCAGCGCGGCTGCAGCGATGCACCAGCCAACTTCAGACATTCATCACAATCGCCGCCGCATGGGTTCCGCAAACCAAGTAGTGGGTGGGTGGGTGGGATGATTGCGCGAGCAGTGGAGTGAACAAGTCATTGCGAACATAAATGTATTGTCGTTTCAAAAAATAGGCTCTACCCCCCCTGGCGTTCTCCGCCCCCCTTTCGGGTATGTAAATCGTTTACGATTCTGACCAAATGTCCATCCGAAATATGAACTTACAGTATCCCAGGGGGGCCAGGATCGCTACCCCTGAGGTCCCATTGTAAAAAACAATACGCGGGGGCATTTTTGTTCTAACATACACTTGTTCACGAATCGTTCTGCGAAAAATTGGACGAAGTGCGCACGCGCGCGTCGCCGAACGCACATGCCGAAATCCTTCAAAAACTTTCGGTGTCAGAAGGATTTCGCAATCGAGTTTCCAACAACCATACAAAAACACACGTTTTCGCAACACCGATTTGCTAAAAAACGCTTACGCGCGAGCTCTTGCGAATTCTTAAGAGAAACATTGTTTTTTTCCAGATGTTCACAAAATGCTACCACGGGCTTCGCGCCCGCGCATGTCGAAATCTGTCGAACGCCCTTGCGCGCATGGCGCGCGAGAATCCTTTGCAACAAATGAAACGAAGTGTAGACGCGCGCGTCGTCGCGCGCGTATGCCGAAATCCTTCAAAACCCATCGGTTCCGGAAGGAGTTCAAAATCGTGCGTCCAAAAAACTTACAAACACACAAGGTTTCGCAACACGGATGTTCAACAAAAGCGTGCGCGCGCGCTCTTGCGTCGTCGTCGTCGTCGTCGCCGTCCTCCCGCGTCGTCGTCGTCGCCTACGTCGTCCTCTGTCTTTCCTCGTGTTCGTCGTCGTCGTCCTCTTTGGCGTCGTGGTCGCTTCCGTCGTCGTTGTCGCTGTGGTAGTCCTTCCTCCTCCTCCCTCGTCGTCGTCGTCGTCCGTCGTTGGCGTCTCGTCGTCGTCCCTCCTATTTCGTCGCCGTCGTCGTCGTCGTCGTCTTCCCTCCTCCCTCGTCGTTGTCGTCGTCGGCGTCGCCGTCCTTCCTCCTTTTTCGTCGTTCGCGTCGTCGCCGTCCTCCCTCCTCCCTCGTCGTTGTCGTCGTTGTCGTCGTTGTCGCCGTCATCGTCCTCCCTCCTCCCTCGTCGTCGTAGTCGGCCTTAAGAGGTTTTGCAAACCAGGTTGCGGGTGGGCGGGTGGGATGTTTGCAAGAGCATGGGATGTGTCAAATCATGGGTAAAAATCGGTTGCACCACATAGACTGCACAGCTTACAGTCAAGACGTTGCAATAAGGAACAGTTTGGGTTCGGAAAGGGCTCGATGTTCCTCAGGTTCCTCCAGTGCTGTTCCTCTTGCCCTCCTGGGGCACGGAGGCGATTACAGGGCGAAGAAGGGGCTTCGTTCCTTTTTGCGTTCCTTCTTTCAGCAGCCCGACTGTACATGGCAAGGGGGACCGTGAGGTGATGTTCCTCGTCTTTCCTCAGCGGACTTCGGCGAGCTTCGGTTCGGAGTGGAAGCGGACGCCCCCCCCCGCAGCGGGGCAGGGACCCGCCGTCGGTCGCCAGCGCCGCCAGCAGTTGTGGCGCGCCCCGCGTTGCTTTTCCGTTGTTTGTGGTTGTTTGCGTATCTCATGTTTGTTTCTCCCTCTCTGTCTCTGTCTCTCGTTTTCTCTCTCTCTCTCTCTCTCTCTCTTTCTCTTTCTCTCTCTCTCTCTCTCTCTCTCTCTTTCTCGCTCTCTCTCTCTCTCTCCAACCGTATGTATATATACATGTGTTTATATGTATAGGTCACGATATGCATATATTATGTGTTGTCTGTATGTATGGAGTGTGATGGGTTGTTTCTCTCTCTGTCTCTCTCTGACTCCTCTCGTTCTCTCTAGTTATGTCTTGTCTCTCTGTCTGTCAGCTTGTCTCTCTGTTCGTTCTCCTATGTGTCTCGCTCTCTCTCTCTCTCTCTCTCTCACGATATCTCGTTATCTCTCGCTTTCGCTCCCTCTCTCTTTCTCTTTTGTGAGTTTTGGTCTCTCTCTCTCTCTCGATTTCTTTGCGTCTGCGGCTCCTTGCAGTCGTCGCTGTCGCCGTCACCATCATCGTTCTCGTCATCGTCCTCACATCCTCATCATCCTCGTCCTGCATATTTCAAACTACCCACTCGGGGTATTCATCATGTGGAGCACTCGGAGTCAGGGAACCTTCGAGCCCTCGAACAAGATTGCAACTTGGAGTTCACATCGCCTGGCGCCAGGCATGTTTGGCAACGTTTCAGCCGCCGCCAACACCCCAACTCCAAGAAAGGCACAGTCCAGTGCTTGGAAGAAGTCATGCCGATATCGGCACTGCTTCAACCGTAGCTCACCTCCTTCTCCTTGGCCATGTGTTGTGCAGCTATTAAGTGGGGTTGTGGTATGACCATAGCTGTGGGCCTAGTTTTGATATCGTCGGCTGCTACAGTGACGCCACAAGTTCGCTGTAGCGAAGGATACCGAGAAAGACCTTGCCACGATCGTCGCAGATTTCATGTTTTCTTGTGCATGGTTGTCAGCAATCGTGTGTTTCCTTCTAGCTCTGCCTCGCGCTCTTTGGCGTCCCTACTATTCAGCTTCCTCCGGTGTCTGTGTGTGTGTGTGCTGGAGGTGAGGGAGGAATCTTGTCTCAAAGCGAACGTGGCCGCAACTCGGGGCGGACATGCGGACGGCCCCGCGATTTTGAAGACGGTCAAGAGCCTGAGGGGGCAGTTCCTGGGGCGATTACAGCGTGCGCGGTGGCGGGAGGCGAGGAAGAAGCAACGCCTCAAATGCGACCGCCTCAGACGGGTGCAGAGATCCCTGCGGCCCGCCTGTACAGGTCCTAACTGAGGCCTTCGCCCCCACCCTCGGTCCAGCTCTTGTACATCGTGGGAGTCGACGGGCACGTCCGTCGTCGTTGCTCCCCTGACCTCTGAGCGCCCCCAGGAGGGTTACATGAGACCGGGCGCGCGCGGGGGGTACACGTGACCGGTCGCCCGCTGCCGTCTGGCTTCTAGACAACCAGCCAGACTTGATCTTACTGTTGCGCGGCCTGCGATTGGCCTCGTCGTTCTCCCCTGACTTCTGAGCGCCTCCTGGGGTTACATGTGACCGGTCGCGCGCGGGGTCTACATCTGACTGGTCGCCCGCTGCCGTCAGGCTTATAGGCCGACGGCCAGGTTTTACCGCACTGTTGCGCGGCTCGCGATTGACAGCTAAATTGGAAAGGATTCCCCTCATCCTTGAAGGCTGACGCCTCACCACACAATCGATTGTGGGGATGATATCCTGAGGGACGGAGGGTTGCAACCCTGTGCCGGCGAAGGCTGACATTGCAGCGGTAGCAAGCACAATGAAATGGCGGAGTTTGTCGAATCCGTTGTCCGTCCTATCCCCATCTTTCATCACCCCGTCCAGGTGCACTCTCCTCCCATACAGTGGAGACCCATGCCAAGAAATACCCTGCTTGCTTGCCTCCGGGGTGCCCTGAGATCATTGGGTTTCGATGGTTTTGCTATGGAAAGCGTGACGTGCCCACACCAAAAATCAGTGGACGCCCTCGGGTCTCCGGGTTGGGTTTCTTGTGGAAGGTTTCTTGTGGTCGGGCATCAATTGTGCCCCCTCACCTCCAGGAGTCGTAGTGGTCGTAGTAGTCGTACTAGTAAGATGTAGTAGTCGTCGTCGTCGTAGTAGTAGTAGTTGTTGTTGTTGTTGTAGTTGTAGTTGTAGTTGCAGAAGTAGTAGTAGTAGTAGTAGTAGTAGTAGTAGTAGTAGTAGTAGTAGTAGTAGTAGTAGTAGTAGTAGTAATAGTAGTAGTAGTAGTAGTAGTAGTAGTAGTCGTAGTAGTAGTAGTCGTCGTAGTAGTAGTCGTAGTAGTAGTCGTAGTAGTAGTCGTAGTAGTAGTAGTAGTAGTAGTAGTAGTAGGAGGAGGAGGAGGAGGAGGAGGAGGAGGAGTAGGGGTAGGAGTAGGGGTAGGAGAAGGAGTAGGAGTAGGAGTAGGAGTAGGAGTAGTCGTGGTCGTCGTCGTCGTCGTCGTCGTCGTCGTCGTCGTCGTCGTCGTCGTCGTCGTCGTAGTAGTAGTAGTAGTAGTAGTAGTAGTAGTAGTAGTAGTGGTAGTGGTAGTGGTAGTGGTAGTAGTGGTAGGAGAGTTATAGTACGAGGGGGAGGAGTAGTCGTGGTACTACTCGTAGTAGTAGTAGTAGTAGTAGCAGTAGTAGTAGTTGTTGTTGTTACTGTAGTTGTTGTAATGGTAGTAGTTGTAGTCGTAGTCGATGTCGTAATCGTCTTCGTCGTAGTCGTAGTCGTAGTCGTAGCAGTAGTAGTTGTGGGTAGTTGAAGTCGTAGTCGTAGCCGTAGTAGTAGTAGTAGTAGTAGTAGTTGTTGTTGTTATTGTAGTTGTTGTAATGGTAGTAGTTGTAGTCGTAGTCGATGTCGTAATCGTCTTCGTCGTAGTCGTAGTCGTAGTCGTAGCAGTAGTAGTTGTGGGTAGTTGAAGTCGTAGCCGTAGTAGTAGTAGTAGTAGTAGTAGTAGTAGTAGTAGTAGTAGTAGTCGTAGTCGTAGCCGTAGTAGTAGTAGTAGTAGTAGTAGTAGTAGTAGTAGCAGTAGCAGTAGCACTAGTAGTTGTAGGAGGAGGAGGAGGAGGACGAGGAGCGGTCGCGAGAGAAACGAATCAACGAGGCGGTGACGAGCGGGCTCCAGGCGAAAGCCGCAACAACACCTACCATTCGTTGCTTTTTGTCCATGCCCTGGTCTTCAGCAGCAGTCGCAGTAGACGTAGTAAGGGATAGTGTGATCGCTAGATAGATCTATTGTCAACCCGATGCGACGTCAATCGCGAATCGACAGCTGTTACCATCCCCCGAAAACCTCCTTATCACACGAAGTGTGGTTTCATTGGTAGATAGAAACCGCTGGGATCGAAAACACTGCGCCGAAGTTCCAGGAATCACTCCTCCTTCAGGATCAGCTCTACCCCCAGGCCTGGAGTGCTGCGGTCTGGCCAGAACTTCAAGGAGAATCCAGCCCTGACGACGAGAAGCCCCCTGGAGGCCCATAGAGGCAGAAACTCATCCACAAAACCCGAACATCGAAGATCGATCCTTATCTTTCTCCTCTCGCCTGTGGCGGCCTCTCATCCTCCTTCTCCTCCCAGGATTGGGTCGACCAGGGCTCTGGTGTAGGCGGATGTGTGTGTGTGGGTCCTGCTATCTTCCAGCCCGAACCTTCAAAAACTACAGAGACTTTCGGAAAACAATCGTACACCTCCAAGATCCATTCTGGAGATTTCGCGAGCCTGGCAAAGACTCCTCCTCCCCCCGCTACTCATCTCTCGCCCGCTTTGGTTGGCCGCTGGCCCAACGTGGCGGTCGGCTGGATTCCCGCGCAGCGACTTCCATGTTGCACGGTCATTTGCCACTCCAGCCAGTGCAGGGTGCTCCGAACGGAACTGCGAAGTAGAGGGTATGATCGCATCAGGTCGTTATACAGTCAAAATTCAGAGTAGGGACGCAAGGATATCCCTGGGGTTCCCCCCCTTGCGTCCAGTCTGCGGCCCCCCGTCCTTCGCGGCCTGCAAAGGCCGGCCCTTCAGGGCTTTGGCAGTCCCCCGCCCAACAAGTGCCAAACTCGGCGTCCAAAGCCCTTGTGCGTCTACCGCCCGCTCTCGCTCCAGATGTCGACTCCACCCAGGGCTCGTTTCAATTCCTCCGAATTCGATTCGGCTCCGACGGCTGCCGATCCCGATTCGATTCGACGTCGGGTCCCGATGTGGATGCCGACTTCTCCACGGAGTCCGGCTCGCCTGCCGATTTCCGCCGACTCGACTTCTCCCGGCTCGCCTGCGGAGTTCTCCGCCAATCCGACCCCCGCCGATCGCCGAGCCGCCTCATCGACTCGATGCCAGGCTCTCCTTCCCCCCCCCCCCGCCCCCCCCCGCAGTTTCGCGCGCACGCCTCGACGCTCCTGGCCCGAGCGGACTGAGCGAGAGCGAGCGAGCCAGCCCCCGAGGAGGAGGAGGAGGAGGAGGAGGAGGAGGAGGAGGAGGAGGAGGAGGAGGAAGAGGAAAAGGAGGAGGAGGAGGAGGAAGAGGAGAAGGAGGAGGAGGAGGGGGAGGGGGAGGGGGAAGAGGGGGGGGAGGCGGAGGCGATGGCGGAGGCGGAGGCGCAGGAGGGGGCGGAGCTCCGTTCCCGGCGGCGAGGGGGGAGGAAATGAGAAGGAAATCGTGGTGCCAACGTCACAGAGCGGATTTCTTCGAAAAACAATGGAGTGGGCCTGGATTGTCCTGGAGAATGCCGTCCCGGATTCCGAAGTGAGCTTCGTGCATAATCAAGATAACAAATAAGTCCACGTACAATTAATGTCGTTTGTCGCTCGCGGTTTTGGGATTTTGCGTTGACGGAAATCCATGCAAACATCCGCCGCAGCACTTCTGCAAGGTCGGTGCATTGACCGATCCTCTCCCAGCGGCGACCAGGGGGGGGAAGTGAGAAGGACGAGGCCTTCTCAGCAGGCGGCACACGGTTTCTCAGAAGCCCCCGCGCCATCGTAAAGGCGTGCGGCGTCTTCGGGCCAGGCGCAGAGCTCTTTTCGGCAGGCCGAGGGGCTTCCGAGCCTTTGGAGAAGGCCCGCCCTTCCTCTCACGTCCCGCCCCGGGCGCGCCGCCGACCACGTCGCCGACCCTGGCTGGGCCGACCCCGCCTCCTCCTCCTCCTCCCCCTCCTCCTCCTCCTCCTCCTCCTCCTCCTCCTCCTCCTCCTCCTCCTCCCCCGCCCCTGGCCAGGCCGATTGGGCCGGTGGAGGAGACCGCCGGTGGCGGGGAGCGCCGCGGGGTGGCCGTGACCTCTCCCCGCGCGTCCAGCGGCCGCGGCCGGCCAGCAGCTCCAGGCGGTCGGGGGGCCCAGGGTGGGGGAGGAGGGGGGATCGGCGGCGAGCGAAGGGGGGGGGAGGGAGAAGGAGAAGGCCCTTTTCAGAAGGCTGGGGGACTTCTCAAAGGCCCTCGGCGCCCTCTTGGAGACTCTTGGAGGCGGAGGAGGAGGAGGAGGAGGAGGAGGAGGAGGAGGAGGAGGAGGAGGAGGAGGAGGGAGGAGGGAGAGGCGGCGGAGGCGGAGGCGGAGGAGGAGGAGGAGGAGGAGGAGGAGGAGGAGGAGGGAGAGGGAGGGGGGGCGTCCGTGTGACCCTTTCGCCTCCACAGTCAACAGGAGGAGAAAAAGACGGTCCGAATCCATTGGCCATAGAAGGAGCATGAGGAACAAGGTTTAGAGGAGAAAAGAAGAGGGAGAAGAGGAGGGAGAAAGAGGAGGAGGAGGAGGAGGACGACGACGACGACGACGAGGACGAGGACAAGGACGAGGAGAAAGAGGAGGAAGAGGAGGAGGAGGAGGAGGAGGAGGAGGAGGAGGAGGAGGAGGAGAGGAGGGATCGCAATGGGGGAAGCGGGTCCTGAAGGCAACGGGCCCTGAGGTTGTTCGACGTGTTGGGTTTCCTTGGGCTTCACGGGCCCCGGGATTGTTCGGAAATCGATTCAGGATGAAGAATTGGTTTGGGGGGAATGCCCCAGGATCCAAAACCCGTTTCTTTCAGGACCAGTTTCCCCCATGTTAAGGGGAGGAGGAGGCGGAGGAGGAGGAGGAGGAGGAGGAGGAGGAGGAGGAGGAGGAGGGAGGAGGGAGGAGGGAAGAGGCGGAGGCGGAAGAGGAGGAGGAAGAGGAGGAAAAGGAAACGGTCCTGAAGCCAACGGCAACAGCAGGAGGAGGAGGAGGAGGAGGAGGAGGAGGAGGAGGAGGAGGGGGGAGCGGATACGTTTCCTCGTGCTCGTGACATTCACCTTTCTTCTTCCCCCCTCATCTTCCAATTCCTACCTCCTGCCTCCTAGTCGTTTTTGTTTCTCCTCCTCCTCCTCCTCCTTCTCCCCATCCTCGCCCTGCGCGCGCGCCTGCCTCCGCGCGCGAGACGCGCAAGGGGGAGGGAGGACGAGGAAGAGCAAGGGAGGACGAGGAAGAGGAGGACGAGGAGGAGGAGGAGGAGGTGCAGCGGGAGGAGGAGGAGGAGGAGGAGGAGGAGGAGGAGGAGGAGGAGGAGGAGGAGGACGGAGGAGGAGGAGGAGGAGGAGGAGGAGGAGGAGGAGGTTCGCTGACGTTGGTCACCTCTAGAGGTGCGTGTCTCTCCACGGTTGCATCCACCCTGGAGCTCCGGCGGAGAGGTTGGATGGGGCGGGGGAGGAGGAGGAGGAGGAGGAGGAGGAGGAGGAGGAGGAGGAGGAGGAGGAGGAGGAGGAGGAGGAGGAGGGGCAGCATCAGGGGTGCACGAGAAGGGCCAGAGTAATCCCATGGTAGGTCAGCGATGCTGCAAGACACCCTCTCGTCCCAGGTCCCCTTCATAATGAATCCCGTTCCTGCAAGCATTCCTTGGCACTGCGGGACGCGCCATTGAACGAGGAGAGCTCATGGGCCTGCAATCTAAGTGATAGACCCGTTTCGACAAAACGCCGTTCTTCCGAGCCCCGAATCATCAGGGCCGGGGGCGGTCAGGGATAGCTACAGATTCGCGCGTCAGGGGTCCTAGCCGGAGTTGCCTGGGACCGCAGCTATCCCGGATCATTCGGGCCCCCAACGCTCCAGAAGCATCAGGGCTGGGGACAGCCAGGGGCAACTGCAGATTCGCGCGTCGGGGGCTCAAACTGGAGTTGCCCCGAACAGCGAGTTATCCCGGATGAGTCGGGCGTCCAAGCTCTGCTTCGTTCCAGCGAGCAGAAGTGCCACGAGGTAGGATCGGAAATTTAGACAGAGCGCGTTCTGTGGTCGCTTGGAGGGGGGGCTTGGAACCGGAGGGGGTTTCGAACCCCCCCCCCTTGTTGAAGGGTAGGGGGGTTTCGAACCCCCCCCCCTCCCGTAACGGCGTGACGGAGGGGGAGGGGCGATCACCCCCCTGCCCCCCCCCTCCCCTACTTCTCCTCTCTCCCTTTCCTCGGGCCGGCGCCTGCGTCGGCGGCGGCAGGCGGCGGCGGCGGGGGCGACGACTTCCTTTTCTGGGCGGGCGCCTGCGCCTGCGACGGCGGGCGGCGGCGGCGGGGAGTGTCGACGATGACGACGGCGACGACGATGACGACGACGACGACGACGACGACGACGACGACGACGACGACGACGACGACGACGACGCTCCGCCACCGTGCCTCGGTTTTGGGTCAGAGTCCGAATGGATGCCTCTCGTGGTCTCGTCGGAGGGCCCTCGAGGGCCTCTGAAGGGCCTTTCTGAAGACTCCTGGGCGCCTCTTGGGCGTCTCTTGGGGCCTCTCTGAGGTGGTGGTGGTGGTGGTGGTGGTGGTGGGCTGTGGTGCTGGTTTCTGGTGGTGGTTGTGGCGGTGGTGGTGGTGGCGGTGGTGGTGGTGGTTGGTGGTGGTGGCGGCGGTGGTTGTTGTGGTGGTTGTGGTGGCAGGTTGTCGTGGTGGTGGTGGTGGCGGTGGTGGTGGTGGTGCGGTGGTTTCTGGTGGTGGTGGTGATGTTAGTTGTGGCGGTGGTGGCTCAAGGTGGTGGTGGTGGTGGTGGCGGTGGTGGTGTGGTGGTTTGCCATGGTGGTTGTGGTGGTTTTAGTGGTTGTGGTGGTGGCGGTGGGTTGTGGTGGTGGTGGCGGTGGTGGGTGTTGTGGTGGTTGTGGTGGTGGTGGTTGTGGTGGTGGTGGTTGTGGTGGTGGGTGGTGCTGGTGGTGGCGGTGGTCGTAGTGGTGGTGGTGAGGTGGTTTGTGGTGGTGGTGGGTTGTGTTGGTGGTGGCGGCGGTGGTTGTGGTTGTGGTGGTGGTATGGTGCTTTGTTGTGGTGGTAGAGTGGTTGTGGTGGTGGTTGGTGGTGGTGGTGGTTTGGTGGTGGTGTGTTGGTGGTTTATGGTGGTGGTGGTGGTGGTGGTGGGTTGTGGTGGTGGTGGTGGTGGCGGTGGTAGTGGTGAATGTGGTGTGGTGGTTTGTGGTGGTGCTGGTGGAAGTGGCGGTGGTTTGTGAAGATGGTGCTGGTGGTGGTGGGTTGTGGTGGCGGTTGTGGTGGTGTTGTGGTTTGCGGTGGTGGTTGTGTGGTGTGTTGTGGTGGTGGTGGTTGTGGCGATGGTGGCGTGGTGGTGTGGTAGATTGTGGTGGTGGTGGGTTGTTGTGGTGGGGGTGAGTTGTTGTGGTGGTGGTGGCGGTGGTGGTGTAGTGGTTTGGTGGTGGTGGTAGTGGGTTGAGGTGGTGGTGGTTGTGTGGTGTGTTGTGGTGGTGGTGGTTGTGGCGATGGTGGCGTGGTGGTGTGGTAGATTGTGGTGGTGGTGGGTTGTTGTGGTGGGGGTGAGTTGTTGTGGTAGTGGTGGTGGCGGTGGTGGTGGTGGCGTCGTGGTTTGTGGTGATGGTGGTGGTGCTGCTGCTGGTAGCGGTGCTGGTGGTGGTGGTGGGTGAGTGGTGGTGGTGGTAGTGGTGGTGGTTGTGGTGGTTGTGGTGTGGTGGTTTATGGTGGTGGTGGTGGTGGGTTGTGGTGATGGTTTTGGTGGTGGCGGTGGTGGTGATGGTGCTGGTAATGGTGTGGTGGTTTTTGGTGTTTGTGGTGGTGGCTGTGGTGGGTTGTGGTGGGTTGTGGTGGTGCTGGTGGTGGTGGCGTTTTTGGTGGTGGTTGTGTAGTGGTTTTTGGTGATGGTGGTAGTTGTGGTGGTGGTGGGTTGTGGAAGTTGTGGTGGTAGTGGTGGTGGTGGTGGTATCGGTGGTGGTGTGGCCTTCGGCTCTTCCCGTCATCACGTTTCAGCTTTGGGTCAGAGTTCTACTCGATGCTTCTTGAGGTCGCGTCAGAAGGGTCTCTGGGGGCGTCTGAGGAGCACGTGCTAAGCCTCGTGGACCTTCCTGGGGGCTTCTCGGTGGCTTCTGGGGTCGAGGGCTCGATATGGCGATTTGTGTGTGTGTGTGTTCCCACTGCGACCTCTGGGCCCTCGCTGGAAATCGTCGCTGCGTCCCTGCCGTCGGCACTGCTGGCCGCCGCCAGCGCCGGCGGCGCCGGCGCCGGCGCGGGGGGAGGGGGGGGGCGTCGGTAGAATTGCTGGGCGCTTTGAGCCAACGTTCGCGGCGGGGCGGCGAGAGCCACATTTTGAAAACCACACACACACACACTCCATCAGTACAACTCTAAGAGGTATCTGGCTTCAAAGTCTTAGATGCTCAGGAAGCCTCGGGTGACACATCCAGCTCCCCTACCGGCACGTCTGGTGGAGCGGCGAAGAGAAGCCATCCATGATAAAGGGGCATAGAGGACCAGAAGAAGATGGGGAGAAACAATAGGAGGAGGAGGAGGAAGAAGAAGAAGACGGAGGGCGGAGGAGGGACCTCCTTCCACCCTTCCTCCTTCCTCCACCCCTTCACCCCTCCTCGCTACGCCCCTGTCTCTTCATACCGACCTCCCCCCTTCCTTCCCCCTACTATCAAGGGCACCCTCGAGGGCGCGAAGTTGTTCGCGCTTCGCGCTTCGGTTCCGACTCCTCGTCCTCCTCGTCTCCCCTGGTGGGCGGCGCGAGGGCGCAAATTGATTCGCGCTTCGCGCGAGAGCGCGAAGTCAGACGCCCCTGTCCTTGGTCCTCTCCTCGGCAGGAGTCTACTCGGGCCTCCCACGCTGGCCGTGGTCGCGGGCCTGACTGCGGGGAGGAGGAGGAGGAGGAGGAGGAGGAGGAGGAGGAGGAGGAGGAGGGAGAAGAATAGGAGGAGGAGGAGGAGGAGGAGGAGGAGGAGAGGAAGGACAAGAATAGGAGGAGGGGAGGAGGAGGAGGAGGAGGAGGAGGAGAGGAGGAGGAGGAGGAGGGGGAGGGGAGGGGGAGGGGAGGGGGAGGGGAGGGGGGAGAGGAGGAGGAGGAGGGAGACGGGGAGGAGGATCACTGACCAAATTGCCA